TTTTTTTTACAAAAACATATTAGTTGATAAAAAGATGAAATAAGGAAAAAGGAATTTCTCGTTCGCATAGAAAAAAATGATTTTTTCCCAGCGTCGAAAATTGGTCGCACACAATTTTGCTTCTTTTGAAAACAAAAAGTACAAAATTAAAATAAGCTTTACTTTGCACATTGTAGTTCCTTTCACGCTGCATTTCCTGGTATATTTTGTTTTTCTAAAACAACTTATTAAGTGATGCAAAAATGAAATGGAAAAAGGTCGTTTTTTTTGTCCGAGGGGGACTAGACAAAATATCCAAAGGAATACTTGTTTTCATAGACACTTCAACCTTGAGTTTCGAATGCGAAAATGGGCCGTAAAACAAAAAGACTAAATATGCAAAAGTGCTCTTTTGGTGTTAATGTTTTTCACATAATGAAAGAATAAAGAAATAATTTAATATTATGTATTGTTTCACATAAATCTTACTCAATTTACCGCTTGTTTTAGAAATGCGTCCTTACATTACCAATGTTTTATATGTTGAGAAATTAGCATGAGTGTTTTCTATTTCTTGCATTGTTCGATACTTTGCTTCATATAGTTTACTTATGATTAATTTGTGAATATATGATGATGAAACGAAAAGAGATGTCAAACGACTGGATGAGGTCAATATAAGATTTAGTTCGCTAGTTTATAACTTAGTATTTGAAACTTAAGATTGAAGTGTCTATTAAAAAAAGTATTCCTGTGGATATTTTGTCTAGTGATACATGGTAAACTGATAAAAAAATTGAATTCGATGAAAAACACCGTTATCAACAGGGGATTCTGAATAATGATTCAGAATCTAGAAATATCTAATGACTGCTAAGATTATGATATTCGAAATTAATGCAGTGAACTACATACAGTTATGTATGCTTCTATAAAAAAGCGATTGATCACTTGATAAACTTTCCTCGTATGCCAATGAATGTGTACTAAACATAGAACAACAAAGTTAAATTTCAAATATTCATTGTATATTTTTACTCTGTGAATAGAATTCTTTTCTATATATTCTTCAGCTGCTCCTCCGTACTGTGCATTGAATGAACGAAAATATACATTAAACACTATTTTATTTTTAGGCAACATAAGAAAGATAAACGAGAACAAAAATAGAAATAATTTATTTATCATCTAAAGCCTTCGGCGAATTTCAAGATCCGGGATGTGAAGTGTAGGTATAGGTTAGTGTCGTTGTAGGTAAGAAGAAAAATGACGGTCACGATCACATCTTCAAGTGGGAAAGCGTTAATATTTCAGCTGTATGTTAGTCGATAAAAGTGATAAAAATGAACTTTTTGGTGCTTATTAGTTGAGTTAAAACAAAATTAATTCGTTATTAGGTTGTTCTTATAGAGTGGAGTGTTAATATAATGTGAATAAACAAGGATTGAATCGATAAGTTTTTGAAAGTTATTTTAGTCGAAGATGTACTAATATTGCTTTTCTAAGCAACTCGATTTGTCATTAACGATGTAGACTGGATCATGAATCGTGCCAAAGCCTCTGTAAAAGTTTTAGAATCCTGTAGAAAAGCAAAATGACTCGTTCTTGGTAGGATAAGTTCTCCTGATTGAGGTATCCAAAGAGTCATCGTGTCAGGTTGATCTCTATAAATAGCTTCTTCATGATCAGCGTCTACGATCCATACAAATATATTTGATGGAATCTTTCCAAAATCAGCTTGACTCCAATTCGGAAGAGTGGTCCACATTGTTGTTAAATTATTAAATAAATTCTGATAATCTTTTACAGGATTCAGCAGTTCATATTCGATCCGAGCACGTTCCAGATAATCATTGAAAACAGTCGATGAAGAAAGGTCTTTCACACCTGATGTAATATAATTTGCTGCAAATGCAAACAATGAAATCAATCTATTGGGATAGTTCATTGCCAAATTGAGACCAATAATTGCACCATCACTCCAGCCAACTACGTGAACTCGACTAATTCCAAGATAGTCTAATAGACCGATGACATCAGTCATCATCAGATCATAAGTAATACTGGCAGATGATGATGTACTTCGTCCTTGTCCTCGAGAATCCATTACAATACATTTGTAAGAAGATCTCAGTTCCAGAATTTGAAGTCCCCAATAATCACTATTGGCGAAGCCACCATGAAGAAAAAGAATAGGCGTGCCATGTTGTGATCCATAAATATTGTACCATATTTGAATATTATTGATGTTTGCGTATTGACCAATTCGAGGTTGAGGAAGTTTAGGCGTCGGTGGCAACGTCAGCCATGGATAGAGTGAATTGACTGTTATCGAACCGTCTACTGTCGTTGCTGCCAACAGGTAGAAGAACATCAAAGTCACTAGATGCATTTCTGAATTGTTATTATATTGTTTAAAATTAGTAGCAATATATAGTATATTTATTATTTGCCTTCTCTTCTGTTTTTCAAATGGCTATGTATACGTGTTTTACCAAGCAGAAAACGTAAGAGTAAAATATTACAATAAACGTTTGTCTGGATGTATTAGAGCGACTTGATCGAAAGCGAAAACAACAACAATACGAACAATATTCAATGTCAGTGAAGCGAAACTTGTGCATAATAAAAACCATAAATCATTGACATAGTCAGTGATAACATCAACGATTTCATCTATCCGATGAAATAAATCCTCTCATAGATATATATATATATAATGTAGTAGGTAAATGTGAGCTATATGAAAAGTGTGTAGGATAAAAGCGTGGTTGCTTTGCTCGAGTCTACAGTGAAATATTGTCTAGCGCAAGTCAATGATCAGCACATATATGAAATGAACCGAAATATTTAAAAGACGATTTATATTGTGTATAACTCAACAGACGGATAACATACAAATTTGGATTTTCTCTAGAGACAAAGCATAGAATTCTCTGCATATTTGAAAGAAGGAATTCCTTTGGACTTTATTTTAACTCTTTAAATTGAGCAAGGCAACATTAAATTCTAAGTTCGAAATAATTATATCAGTATATATGTATGATCTTTTTCTCGTTTTTTTTTTTTTTCATATATAAGAAAGGATAAAATAAAAGTAAATAATATAAATCGTAATATAGTTCTATTTATTATTTTGTTTTAAGAAAAGAACGATAAAAAATGAAGAAGAAAGAAGAGAGAACTCAATGAGAAAAAAATTAGATGAAGAAGTATGAGTAATGCGGAGCCTATCGAATTTTGTCTTTCGGCGTGTAGTTGATGGTAGGAGAAACGTAAAAAAATAAGAAAAAAATGGAAATCGACAAATAGAAAGATCATTTTTTTTGGAATAGTTAATGAATATCAGGAACAAAGAGAATCTTATAGCAGATGAAGATAATGCCGTTTGGTGGAGAGGAATATCCTTTAGAGAAGAATGAGAGTGCAACGTTAATAAATAATACGTGTACAAGAAAAAAACATTTATTTAAAAGAATAGTTAATGTCGATCTATGAAAGAATATCTTGTCAAATTTATTTTCAAAAGTGTCCAATAGAAAAAAATACAATACTTATCAGAAATAGTTTCGAAAATTTGGTCATATGTTGATTTTTTCGTTATTCTTTTCATTGTCAAGTATTGAGAGACATAACCAGAATTTTGCGAAGGAGCGCACCATTGTTCTGCGAGGTCAACAGTTTTGATCACGATCACGATGAATCACGAAAAAAAAGTAGTGTTTAACGATGTTTAGAGAAAAATTTTCACTGTTTGATAGTACTGTCTCTGCAAACCCTTGCTCTGGTCGAAAGATAAAATTGTGAAAAGTCAAAGTATCAAAAAACGAAAATGAGAGATCAAAATGTGGAAGTAAGAATAATGTTGAAGATAAGGAAATTCCTTCTTTTATACACTATCTCTTTCCATATTTTCATCTTGCGACGTCACTAGAATTCGTTTTTGATATTTTTATTTTCAACACTTTTACTTGTGGCAATACTAGGGTGAATCTGCTGTCTGTATGATAGAGAAACTGAAACAATAATCGAATCCAAATATAGATGCTGTCGAAATATATTAAATCGAATGAAAATTTCCTTTTTATGGTGGTCGAATTGTATCAAGATTTTTACTAACGAGGTCGAATCGAATCGAGATTTCCTCACTCATTTCGGTCTGGGATGTATTATATTTCATTGAACACAATCAACACGAATAAAATGAGATAATGGAAGTCGTTTGTAGTTCATATAATGTCTTAGCTTTTTCCTTTATATTTCCACATATACTATATTGATTTGTTTCTTTTTTTTCCTTGTACCTCTTGTTTCCTGTTTTTATTTTTTTAATTTATCCTTCTTTATCTTACGTGATTAGTATCCTGCCAATAAAGCAGAACTCACGTTCATCTAACTTACAGTTTCGATGAAGTCATTTATTAATAATGTTAGATAAATTGACATAAAATTTTGAAAAATCAATATCAATTAAGAGAATCGAATAGGATTATTATAGAAGACAGATTTGGCATTGATGAATTCATTCGCTTATGCTAACCGATAAACTTCTATATCGGATGTTACAAAATGATTGTTTCCAGTGAAAGTTAATTCTCCTTTTCCAGTTGTGTCATCATATGATGTGGGAAATTTGAAATAACTGTCTTCAGTAGATTGACTTTCGTCGCACACATGTAAATCGAATCCCCCACCAAACGTTGGACCGTAAGCAGGACTATGTGCAACAGCATGTACGACTTTCGTTGGACTGATAATATACTTGGTAGGTGGAATGTTGTGTGGATTCGTCAGCGTAAAAATAAATGGTGTAGCCAAATCTTCTGCATAGCCTACTACGGAACTCCAATCTTTTGAAGTATATCCTCCAAATAACCATCCACCTTCTTTCGATTGAATAATCGTCAGAGTTGGTCCTTGATTATCCGAACAACGATGAAAGTCTTCAGCTTCGAATCCATCACGTTTACCTTTGTAGACCAAACGCCATTTTTGTTCTTGAATACCAATCCATTTGTTGAGTTGTATTTGATTTTCAAGACGAAGAAGTGAACCACCACCAGTAAAGAAACCAAAATATTTTGCTTTGATTGTAATCAAATGTGTATTGATTTCGAGTGGTTTTATATCAATGTGAAAAAAATCGGATTTTTCAAGAGTTGTACAGCGATCATTGAATGCTTTAATCTGTTTTTTTAATTGTTCTACTTGATAATACGAAGCATTATCTTGATCAAGCAATTTTTGTACAGATTCACACAATTGTTTTCCAACTGATCTTTCCTCTTTTAATTTTAGTTGAATAATTGTTTCTAATGATGTTTTCTTTTCGTCGTATAATTTATCGATCATACGATGACATTCTTCGCGCCATTGCTCGAGTTGTTCTGTTGCATGTTCAGCAAGACGAGTAATATTAAATTGATTGAGACTGCTTATTATTGAATTTAATTGATCTGATAAATGCACAACGTTATCATTTATTAATTTCACATGTTCAAGATAATGTTTTGTACAGACAAATGTATTACAGTGTAAACACAGAGCATTAGAAAAGCTCTTACAGTCCGATGTTGCACATGTATTAGGTGAAGTTATTGCAGAAGCCATTTTGTAAGTAAGTATGTGAAATAGGATATTGAACTTAAGTTTGAAAAACACTTAAAATCTCGAAAATTAAACAAAATTGAAAATCAGACATTCTTCAAGAAACCAATGTCTATCATAAACACAATTGTTTTGTAATTGAAAAAAGTAATAAACTGGAATATTACTGTATGTCTTTTTTTGTTTTTGTTTTCTGATTTGTTATTCAAATATTCAATCTCGTGAGTAGCACTGAGATGGCAGTAATGTTTATGGAATATGTAAAAATTTTCTTTCTACTACAACTAGAATTGATATTCAAATACTCATATTGTTCAAGGTAAAAAAATTAAAAATTAAAAACAAAATATCTTGACTTATTACATGCGCCATCTATCATTAATAACTATTGCAACAATTTCTTAGTTTTATATCTAACGAAGGAACGAATTCGACTGCCGGATGCCGTTCGACTTCATATTTTGGCTATGAGTAAAACTCAGTGAGACTAAAAAAAACCATAAACGAGTTCGTGCCCATGCACTGCTGATCCAAAATTATAGCCGCTTTATTGAATTTTTGGCTTACGGTACGACATCCACAGCAAAGTCAAATGAAGCAATTTTCAATATGATATTATGTCCACAAAAAAGTCTAATAATTCCTAGTATATACTAAAAATGTCAAATAAAACGGATGCTTCCTTCTTGAGATATTCAACTTTCAAAACAATATCCAATTATAACAAACAGATTACGATGATGGAGCTGCCTGCAAATTGGATATCTCAAGAAGGAAACATCCGTTTTGGTTGATAATTTTCGTACATGCTAGGAATCATTAGACTTTGCTGTGGATGTCGTACTGTTACTCAAAAATTCGCTAAAACGGTTATAATTCTGGACCAGTAACGCATGACCACGAATCCTTCTAGGGTTACTTTTTTTAAAAAGATTGAATAAAAATTATGCTTTGCTCGAGCACAGTGAATATCTAAGACTAAAAAAATTTATTGACGGATGACATCATATTCTGTATGATATGAGAGATTGCCCAAAAATATCATGTTTGATCACAAGTGGGAGAGGAACCAACGTATTCGAAAAACTTATCACATGAGTTCCGAACAGTTTATTTTAAGATAGAGTAGCTGCCAAATTTGTTCAATAAGTTTCATTATAGAACTTTAAATACTAAAAATATTCGAAATAGTGATTCCAATATTGGAAACGATATACAACAAGAAACCAAGAAAATAAATACAATTACAAGATTACCTAAGGCGGCGTTGTGAGAAAGTCAAAACATTAGTTTTTCAGAACCCAAAACGCACAAAATATACTTTTGTTCAGACTGGACGCAATGACAGAGAAAACAATTCTCTGCGAAATAAGGCGTCCCAGAGTTTCGCACAAATTATTTCTCTCAGGCAGAAGAATCTTTCGGAATCATGTAAAATCTTTTTTTTTAACTATTTTTCATAAAAAAAAGTATGTTTCGGTCGCCAATCAAGTTCCTGTATTTCCGAAAAACAACATCGTAGAAATCTGTGAGACGCCTGATTCTGTAGAGAATCCCAGTCAGACAAGCGTTGAAAAAGAACGACGTTTTTACGCGTTAAAAAAAAAATTTTTTTTTTGAAGAAAAAGCAAGTTTGTAAATATTAAGGTTATGAAATTCATTTTTAAAAAGAAAAAATATTTTTTTTAACGCGTAAAAACGTCGTTTTTTCAACGCTTGTCTGACTGGGTCGTAAATTAAAACTACATTTACCACTAGAGACTAAAGCTTTTGGACGTGAAACCAATGTTTCACAAGCCCTAGAATAATTTGACACTCGACCACTTTTTTTTTTCGATTTAAATTCTCTGGATTTATATCAAGTGTCAAAAATCAAAACTAATAATGCAATTCAATCAATAAACATATATCAAGAACATACGATCAAAACCTTCTTTTTTTTCATGAGAATTTGTTTTATGATGATTAATAAAGACAACGAATATCTCTTCAAAAATTGAACACTTAGTTTATTTCGACGAAAAGATAACAATAAATTCTTTTATGAGTGAAAACGTCTTTCTTTTGATATGCCATATTGAACCATTCAAATGATCATATTTATGCTGCTGGTTAATACGAAATAGATGAATATAAAGAAAGAAAACTATACACTAGATTTCGTTCATAAATGAAACAAAGAATTATATTTTTTTAGTTTGTTCACAGACTGTAAAGTGGTTTTAATGAATTTTGCTCGTTTGTCTATTTTTAATAGGAGCCGATGAAGTAAAGAATAACATTTTATTTGTCAAAACCAGCTAGACGTACTCAAATAAAACTGAAAGATAACCAGAAATATTGCGTTCAAGAATCGATCATATAAGTAAATTTTCATTGATTCAATAGATACTGAAATTTTTTGTTATTTCTTTGACAGAAGATTTGATGTGCAGTATACGTATATGAAAAACGGTTGTGTGTTATTTCTTGTTGTCATCACCCGGAATACGAACTCGATAATTTGTCTTTTATCTCTTTTTAGGACTTTTATTAGACATTCATTGACATAATAATTTTCGAACTGAAATTGTTCTGTGTTCTTTGCATTGCTCACAATTTTTAATCACGAATTCGCGGTATAATTTACTGAATTTTTTCCATAATAAACACTTGTTAAAATGCTTGGAAGTATTATTTTATTATTCTCTGAATATGAAGTCTACTGTTAATCAGATTTTCTCTTGTAGCTTTAACCTGATCACGAGAACAAAATGTATTTACACATTATTCAATTAAAATGGCCTAAAATGAATCATCAAGATATAAAACTAAAAAGTGTACATCAAAAGAGTAACTTTTGCTACGAATAAATCGTCTGTTTGCAAACATAAAGGCGTGTTCTGCTTTTAAATGTGAAATAAAAAGAATTGCACATCGTGTATGAAAGACATGTGTTGAGAAAACTAATAATTATGTATATGAATTAGAACTTTTCAATATTTCAACATCAGAACTCAAAAATATGATAAAAATTCAATTTTATACTTGGAATTTATTTGCAATACATTGCCAAAGAACTCGTTGAATAAATATGATTACTTCTATTTTTTCAACCAAAACAGGAAAAATTCAATACGAAACGGTAATAAATGACAGAGATATTGAAGCGTTCATTTATTCTGTCACACTTACTAATGTGTTTTTCAAGAGAAAAAAGGTGAGTAGGTATTTTTTCGAATAACTTTTGATAGAAACGAGTGAGAGAGATGCGATTTTGACCGTTGGAAAGAAGAGATAAAGACGTATCGAACGGTGCATTATAGGATAAATTGACCTCGTTTTTTGAGAACTTAAACCGATGTCTTTGAAAATCCACGTACTTCATAAGGTGACTTCAGTGAATCTTCAAATCTACAAAACTACGCAACGTCCAGACTTTTAGAGTTATTCCTTCCAGAGTTATAAGTATCCTACTTGAAATTCAGAGTCGATTTTTCGATTAATTTCTGTGAAAAAAAATCACTTTTTTTTTTTTTAGAAAACTAATTAAGAAACCGTTTTAGAAAAGCCTATAATATATGATTTGACGTATGTGTCTGCATCTTCTCTTTTCAACGGTAGAAATCACACTTCTCTACCTCTTCTCTATCAAAAATTATTCCAAAAATACCCACCCCCCCTCTTTTTTAAAATGAGCATTAGTTTCTGTGGTGGAGATATATCAAACTGTTTTGATAATGTTTAAATCATAAGAATAAAATTTATCATAAGTTATATTAATTATAAAAAGCTCCCTATGAAGAATAAATCGGTGCTTGAACACGAACTTAACAATTCTACTTTCCTTCAACACACTATTACTTACATAGAAGCGGTAAACAAGTGTCGTTATCTTAAAACCAATCTCTGTAGTTAAGACTCAATTCAATGACAAAGTAAATCTCGTGTAAATCATTCAAAAATTCATGTATAATATTTTTTACCATCGTCTATGTATCACATCGACAACATTTGCTAAAATTATTTTGACTATTATGAAAAATAATCAATCTTTAAAGAATGTTATTAGATGACATGGTGATAGAAATTCATTAATTTTCTTTTTATCAAAACAATTTATTGCACGAAAAAAAAAAAACAAAGAATTGAAGTAGATATCTGCAGCTTTTTTGTGTTAAATATGTTGAACTTTTGCTTTGTCTGCACATGCAATAGCTTTTCGTATAATATCGGTACATTTTTCACGTCGTACTAATTTGTTATTTTCAAAATGACCTTCATTTCTTGGCAAACCATGTGAACCATCTGTAAATGTTAAAAGACCTAAACCATAGATTTTTCCATCTTGAAATTGACCTTCATATTTCATACCATCACAACGAGTAAATACACCTAAACCATGAAAACGTCCTTGAGAAAATTCACCATCATATCTAAAATACAAAAAAAATGATACTCTTTATAGAATGTGATGAGCTTTTCAAGAATATATGCGTTTCTAATTTTTCGAAATAACTTTTTAGAGGAAAATTTTCAAATGACCAGCAATGTTTTAATTTCTTTTAAACTTGAAAATTTTTTTTTTTTTTAGATTTATCATGGACAATTGAATATAGAAGAAACTCATTTATAAATGACTTTCCTATAGTCAGATTTTCATGCTAAATCAAAAAGTAAATTTTTGAAATTTCAAGGAAATGAAAAAATAAAAAGTGTCTCGATTATCAAAAACAATTATTTAAAAAAAAAACAACTTAAAAAATCGCATATTCTAGAACAGTTCATTCCACTCTACTTAACCATATACAAATAAAAATAAAAAAAGAAAACTACTATTTTAATTTTGCATTCTTGCCACCTTACTTTGAACCATCTGGATATGTGATACAACCAAGCCCAGAAAAAAGACCATTTTCAAATCGTCCACGATATTTTGCATGATCAGAAAATATTAATTGACCGAATCCATGTCGTTGTCCATCTTCATTCCATTCACCTTTTAACACAATATCAATTTTCTTTTTTTAATCAAATCTATTTATTTTTTTACCTGTATATTCAGATCCATCGGGATATCGATAGGAGCCTTGCATATTACTTTATCTCTCTATAAATGTAAGAAGAAGAAAAAATGCAAAATTCATGCTTTATGTTCGATTAGATTGACATTAGAAACGAAGAAAAGAAAAAAAAGAAATAAAAGACTGTAGGCAATGCATTGACTATCGCAAAAGAAAAGAAAGTATTTGCGTCCATATGCAAACATTAATCATCGGCAGTTAAATACGAACGTATGTCATCTAAAGCAAAGCTCAAAAGTAAAAGAAAAATAGAAGAGAATAAACAGAACATTTTACTTCGTTAAACGTTACACATGCGAAAAAAAAAAAAAAGAATGTAAATGCATTCCAAGTATTTTGCTTGACTCAATCAAATGAACCGTTCAATGTCAACGCCCTTCGGAAGTATTTTTCTCAGCAGAAAACGCTTAAAAAAAATAAGCCGATATGATTCCTCATGGACGTCAAAATACGTTTTTGTGATTTTAATCGTCTTCTATTCCAAAATTTTCACTTTACTACTATGTGTAATAATGTTACTATGTTTCAGATTATTCTCTTCTATATACAAACGAGACTAATATTTGACATTGACCGATAGTTGTTTCATACGAGTCAATAATTGTCTTATCTATATACATTGAGGATTAATTAAACACTAATAATCATGACGATGAATGTCGTGTTTGTCGATAATGAGATAAATTAACAAAGTCATTTTCAATGTTATCAAATTCAACATTGTCTATGATAGTACGTGTCATTTTAGGATTTCTTGTTTTTTTTTTTTATTCTTTCTTCATTATAAACAGTGATATGAGTAGTATCTTAATTGCATCAGAAGAAAGATATTGTTTCAAAGAATTAGTTAGTAAAGTCAAGTTGATTCTTATTTCATGAGGATATTTCATCAAATGATAAAGTACTTTTGAGAAGAGTCTGATCTCATTAGACAATTCCTATTTAGATTAGACAAAATTTTAAACAACTTCGTGCTTAAGAATCTTTTTTCTTGAGTAATGATTATTTTAGTGAATTTTTTCAATTAAATTTTGTCCTTCAAATTCAGTTTATCTTCAAAATTGATTTCTGAGTTATCGATAGGACTTATTTATTGTAAAAATATAGATTTTCTAGTTGATATCAATATTAAAAATTTTGCGTTGCCAAAACCAAAAAATTTATTATTATTTTTATATAACAGTATAGGAAATATTAGAAAGCTCGAATGCTTTTATAATGCATCTTTTTAGATTTGCCCTAGTCTATCTACTACATAGAACCTACTGAATGAACTAAGACTCATCTCAAGAGTGATTTATCATTTGATGAAGATCTCTCATTAGATAAATTACTTGTATTTGATGTCGATACAAGTGCTGAATTGGTAAACTGAATTGCATATCTATCAATGGATAAAAAAAGTCATTTCAAAATATGCTTGAAAAAAATAGAAGTTTGTTTCGACTAATACGAAGATTTTTATTTTCAAAATGAACTTATTGATCTACAAAACAAAAATATCAATAGTTGATTTTTGTTTCATATTTGATATTATCGCTAATCGAAAATTTTATTTTTTGACTTATGATCACTGTTAAATACATGTTGAGAAAAAGAAAAAGAAAGAGTTATCCCACCGGTGCTAAGCTAATGCTTGCATATTACATGGGACATTAACAAAACGAGAAAACTTTTAATCTATCTAAATTGTTGTTGTTGTTGTTGATAATGATCTTTTCGATATTGTTTTGCATCAAGTTTTTCACGTTCTTTAGCTTGTTTTTTTGTTTTATATCGGTGATTTTGAAACCAAATTTTAACCTTAATAGACCATAAAGAAAAAAAAAAAAAAATATTAATTTCAAACTTCTATGAACAAACTTGTGTTGGTGTTAATTGAAGAATATTTGCAAGATTTTCACGTTCTGGTGCACTTAAATATTTTTTTTGTTTAAAACGTCGTTCTAATTCATAGATTTGTCCTTGATTAAATAATATCCGACGTTTACGTTTTTGTGATACAAATGGAAATTGTACATATGCTGATTTCATCATTGGATCTTGATGATGTCCATAAACACTTGCAGCTAAAGCTGCACTATCAACAGCTGACGATGATCCAACTAAATATCGAGACACTACAAAAAAAAAAATTGTTTTTTTTTTTTTAATAAGTTTAAAAATAAAAATAAAACTTCTCATACTTGCTGCTGATCCATACCAACATGGACTTGATGAATATTGTCCAGTTGAATTTCCGCTATTTTGAAATGAACTACTATAATCATAATATTGATTATTTGGTGAAAATGTTGTTGTTGATGATGGACCATAATAACTATTATGTATTGATGATGGTCCAAATGTTGGATTAGATAGATTAGTTGATGCTACATGATTTGATGAAAGTTGTGTAGAATAAACTGATGATGATGATGATGATGAAACAGCAGCTAATGCATGTGCCATTTCAATTGAACGTTTATAAGATGTTGAAGCATCAATATCAGATGGTTGAAGAATATCTGTTACACTAAATGGCATACTAGGATTGTTTGTTAAAGTTGGAGGTGGTACCATTGAAGGAGTCGAGCTTCTCTTTAGTTGACTGAAAATTAAAAAGAAAAATTCTTTTTGTAAATATATGTTTTTTTTTTAGAATAAAACTTTTTCAATTATACTCTAAATAGAGTTTAATTATGTAGAAAATTTATCAAGGTTTTTCTTTTCCTCATTCAACTAAAATTCAGTAAAAAATAAGAGAAAATTTATTAATAATTGAAATTTAGAATAAAGTCTCTCGATTTTATCAGGTAAAAATCTGTCGAATTAACATTTTTCATTCTGAGATTCAGGTTCTCAAGAAACTTTTTATATATAGTAGACTAATGAGAAAAGCCCCTTAGGAATAGACCGAGACTACGTACTTGATGTAGACTCAAATAAGCTATGAATGTCCTGAAAAAAGTTCATGTCCTTCGCTTATTACTACAGAGATAGTGTATTTTTCTGAGTAGATTTTTAATTAATGCTGTTGTGTGGCTTAGGAAAACTTATCGTTAATTTGAAAATTTCCATAGAGACCGATCTTAACGAGAATAGATTCAGACCGCATTTTTTTTTTGTTCTTATTCTAAGACACAGATATAGTGAAAAGCATGCCTTTTATATAGCTTCTATACTAAGATAGATTTGATGTTCTCTTATTTCAGGTTAGAAGCAAATAAAAAGACTTGAAACTTTCATAATAAATTACTCTCCTTAAGACCTAATTCTAACCAAAGTTTCAAGTCAAATTCTTTTCAGTATGTTCATAGCTCATTTGGATCTATATAATGCACATAGTTTATATTCAATTCACAGTAGAACTGTACGGGATCGGAATAAATTTATAATAAAATAGCTCATAAGTCATATGAACGGGAACATAATTCAAGTGAGGTAAACCCCCCCAAAAAAAAAATGTGCTTGTGGTCAATTAAATAAATAAAATAAAAAATGAGTATTGAAGAATTATTCTAGATGTAATACAAATAAAAATGTGGAATAGTTTTCTCTAGATCGAAACCAAAATCAATAAAAAACATACTAATTCTGGGACTTTCCTTGTAAGCCGAGATAGTTTAGCTGTTCAACGTAAGTACATGATTTCCACTCGAACAAGGAAAGTTTTCATGAATATTACTATTAGAACTGTAAAATGACAATTTATAAACAAGTTCTTTTTAAAAAAATAAATTTAATCAGTGAATACTTTCTAACAGTTTTGAGATACTACATAATTATTCAAATTGATAAAATAAGTAAGACAAATGAGAGTACATACTTGTTAGTATAGTAAGAAAGAGCGTCAATTTGTTCCTGTTTTGCCATGTCGAATAAAGTGAACAAAAAGTTTCTTTTTTTCTATGAGTGGCTCATTCAATAAAATAACGAGAAGTTCGTGATCGATGATAAAAAAAAGATATGATGACGTATGTGCTTCTTTCTATTGTCGAGAAGTTAAAGTATGAGCTTTTATATTATTATTTATCGGTTTTTGCTCTTTTCTATAAGTACCATATATAAAAATAAAATCAGGAATAAGAAGAAGTTGGAAAAATAACAACTCTCTATGTATGTATATATGAATGTACGTATGTATATTCACAAGTAGATATACAACACTTCAACTAGTGTACAAGAGATGATGATGATGATGATGATGTGTTGTTTTTAGGTTAGAGAAAAAGAAAAAAGAAAAAGAAGCTTTTTATTTCGTCATTTGAAGTTGACGCACTCAACGAGATAGAAGTGTCTTCTATAATAATGATGATAATGAATATAAGAAGTGCTTTTCTCGGCTGGTGTAGCGTCTTTTTTTTTCTTTTTCTTATCGACATCGGAAAGGGATTATTAAATTCATCAAAGAGAAAAAACCATCGATTCTCTTCTTTTTTTTTCTAGACTTTCCACCAATCAATATTCAATGAATGGTTTGATCCGATAAATTTCATTGGTAGGATTTATTTCCGAGAAAGAAGAAACTGAACAACAAAGTACGGGTATATGCATTGTGATTAACATTCGGCATCATTTGCTTGTCAATTAAGAAAATTGAATTGCGTCTATTCCGATAAAATACCACATCTTATAACTTAAAGAAAAAAAAAATATATATATATATATATCTATATTCTAAAAACCTTTATTTAATTACAAATATCAAATTTTGTAAGAATTCTATTTAAAAAAACAAGGGAATAATTTTTTTTTGCTACTGAGAGTAAGTAAAACTGGTTTTTTTAAGTTTGATATATTGAATAGAGTTTCTCATGTTACCAATGTTTGAACTAAGCAAAACAAAACAAGAAATATGATACTCGTATTTTTATTTTAGTGAATAGTATATTTTACGAATAGACATATTAAAGAGAGGTGATTATTCTATACTTTCGAAAGTTTTGAAGATCATGTTTTTGTTGAAGAAAGCATCAAACAATAAAAAGATCCTATCGAAAATCAATGTCAATTCATTTTTTCAAATCTTGAAATATTTCCGAAAAGAAATAAAAAATCAATAAATCTTTTGAAAAGATAAATAATACATATTAAACAAATTAAGCTCTTATCGATAAAATATAAAATGAAGATTTACTTATCATTGATAACTTGTTGGAAATTACATACGCCAAAAGAGCTTTTTTTTTTCTCGTGACGTCATTTTTATCATTACTAAACAAACATCATGTCTCATTTTAATTGACACAACATGTTGTTGAGTTTTCTTCATTCTCATTTGTATATATATATATACCCAGCAGTATGTGGCCATTGGGTCTAATTATTTTTCACAAGAGCTAGTGAAAAATCAGTGCATCGTAAAATTTGATGATGACGTCAACGAAACAAAAAAAATTTTTTTTTTTCTCCACCTGAAAACATCTTCATTTATGCATGCTTGAAACAACAAGTTAGCTTTATTTAATAAATTTGAACTAAAAAAAAAAAAGAAATAATGACTTATATTATGTCGATGTCTTTTAAATAGAGAAATCTTATGCAAGTAACAAATGTTTGTAATTAAACAGAAGGCATACATCTAACAAAGTCTTATAAGATCGGAAGTGAAATTTCCGATAGAGCACTAGCCAATCATAAGATGATGATGATGATGGAAAGAAAAAGAAATCATCATCTGACTTGCCCGACATATACACACGCGCTATTTTTGTCGAGTGGTACTTATTTGAAAATTCCACAGGCAAAAGAAAAAGAAATTGCTAATTATAAATTTGTATTTTAAATTCAAATATATAGAAAGATTAGATTTAATTATCAATATAGTTCAATCAATTAAGATTAACAAATAATTTTCATATTAATAATTAATTATTGAATATGAAGAATAAAAAAAAAAAAAAAAAACTTATTATTTATTGTTTTTTTTAAAATTTGTTTTTGTAATAAATGAAAACATGCAGGTTTTCTCTGATCTGTTGGATGCCACTTTTCTATATCTCGATCTCCTGTTGTGTATTTCACGAGTGGTTTAGTATCGATCTAGACACGTGTATATAACAATTGCATCACTCTATAGGACAACGAATTTATTTAACAAGTAGATACTTGAATGAATTGCTTTTTTTTTCCTCTCGCTGTCTCTCTTATATAACAAATGCTAGAATGAATAAGAAAAAAAACTATCTAACTAGCTTCAATTATCACTGTCTTGTCGTTTTAATGAAATAACATATACAATTATGTATATACATTGGCTCATATAGATAAATCAGATCATCGAGTAAATGTTGCTAACATCAAACTATCCATATTGTTTAAATATACTTGCATAATCAATTATGTATAGGAAAACTGTGAACAACTACACTAGAATTTTTCAATGCTGATAACGATATAGATTGAGTATATATGAAGTAGCATTAGAAAAAGAAGAAGAAGAAAAAACGTATAGACTACTAATTGTTGTTTGACTTTCTTTTTTTTTTTTGCTTTAATTTACTCGGTTGGTTGTGTTTTAAGTGGTTCTTTGTCTTTCGGGTATCGTATTCTTTTTTTCTTTTGTGTTGAGTTTTGAAAATGATTGCCATAGGCAATAAAGGTGAATATTAAAGTGAAAAATAAAACATTTCGATTTCTAATGCCATCAAAGAACAAATGAACACATTATCAATTATGATTAACACGTGCTAACAAGCATTCAATTGAGAAACAAAACTATTACGTCAGAATCTTTACTGTTCTATGATTTATTCGAAAGGTCCTTTTTATATATGCTAAATATTGACACATGTGATGTGTGTGAAGAGGGACGACATTTTTTTTTTTTCTCGTCTCTTTTTTGCTTTTTATATTTAGTCGTTGTGCCAACATTTCAACCACTTATTGTCTCTATCCAGCTGCGTCCACCACTTCAAATTGACATTGAGAGTGGCTCCGTTTGGTCTTAGATGATGACAACGAGAATGATTGAATTTAACATGCAAATAGAACTTAATCATATCTAATAAAATACAGATTCATATTTTTTTTGCTCAATTTTTTTTCTTCTAAAAAAAACAATTGGCCATCAACACAATAAGAAAAATTGCACAACAGAAAAAAAAAAAAAAAGGAAAAGAAAATAGAAGAAGTTGTTTTTTTTTTTTCGTTTCATCATCTATAATTATCGTGGTTCGTGTTTAAGTAAATGAAGAGGTGAATGATGATGTAAATGATGACCATGATGAAGTCGTGGATGTGTTTGTCCTGGTATAGGTACTTGAGGTTGAAACATGCTTGATTGCATTTGTTGTTGTTGTTGATGATGATGATTATTATTATTATTATTTAAAGTTTGGTGTTGTTCATCTCCACTATCACTACAATTATTTCCCGGTTTTTCTTTTGATGCTTTTTTTGTTTTATATCGATGATTTTGAAACCAAATTTTAACTTGTGTTGATGTTAAACTCAATGAATGTGCTAATTGATCACGATCTTGTGCATTTAAATAACGATTTTTATCAAAACGTTTTTCAAGTTCCATAACTTGTTGTTGAGTAAATAAAACACGTCGTTTACGTTTTGGTGCAAATGCAAATGGATGATAAGCTGATTTTAATGGATCAACCATTGATGTACCCGATGGATACATATCATATTGTGATGAAGTTTGACCAGTTAATAAACGTGACACTATTATAATCACAAAAATAATTTTTACTTTTAACTAAAAAAAAAAAACGACAACAACGAAAAAATTTTTACTTGCAAATCTTGGATCTGCACAATGTGTTGGTTGATACCATGAATTTGTAATTGGTGTTGCTGTTGAAGGATTTGTATTTGTTGGTTGATCTGTTTGTTGACAAAGATAATCCGAATAAGATCTAGCTTGACTTGAAAAATATGATGTAGCTGCATCAGAATAAAATGGATATGGTACACCAGTTGATGAAAAATGACTTGCAAATGAATTTTGATCAAATGTTGAAAAAAATGGATCATATGTTGTTGTTGTAGAATTTTCTGTTGATATTGGAAGTGGTGTTGATCGTGTTGGGGATGATGACGAATTATAGGACATAATAAATATTTTTCCTGAAACATCATGATGAATTTTTGTTGAGTATGATCAAATGATTTTTGTTAGAAGTATGAATAAAAATGAGAAGAGAAGAAGAAGAAAAAAAGAATGAAGAATTGGCCACTTACCGTATTCGTACGAGGCCGCACAGGATGAGAGATGCTCTGAGGAGGCTCTCAGAAAGCTTTCGAGATCGATTGAAGAGGTTCGACTCCACTCACAACACAGACAAATATGTGCCTATGTATATGTGTTTCTTGTTCGTTCTCACTCGTTTTTTTTTCCCTTTTTTTTTTTTTCGCATACACAAAAGAGACCTCTTGTCTACGTATTGAGAATAATCATGTCCATTCTCTTGTTCTCTCTCTCTCTCTCTTTTTTTTATACTTTCACTATCGTTCTTATGTTTTCTATTGGTTGAAAAGAGAATTTACTTTTTATTGGTTAATAAGTGATAGAAGAAAAATAATACACAGAAGAGAAAAAAAAAAAATGTACATAAAAATATAACAGAAAAGAGAGAATAGAATACTTATCATAGATTGTAAATCAACAATACACATTGGTGACAATTAATCTTCTCATTCGATTGATTATTGCTGAGAGTGAGAAAGAAAATAGAGAAACACTTGAATTAAATCATAAAAAATAAAATTATAATTTTTATATATCATCCAGAAAATGAATATATTTGTTCTTCCTTAATTGTTCATATAATTATGTTTAAAATCAAATAAGTAAACAATTTTTCTTGAAATAACACTTGAACAAATAGATTTTTTGTTTTGTTTTGATTTTCTTTTCTTTTCTTTTTTTTTATCAAGGCTTTATTGTAAAAATACAAATGCTTTTAAACTTTCGCATATGAATTATACTAGTAGAATCTGTCTGACTTTTACTGGTTTAATAACAAAAGAAAAAGCTTTATTACAGATATAGAATAGCTTGAGGACATATTTCAATCGGTCTCTTTGTTTCTACAGTGATATACCACTCGGACTTCCTTGCTATTTTGCTATTTAAACAATATCTATATATAGATATAATGGAAACAAACGGAAGAGGTATCGTTGAGTGTTTATGGTAGGGTGATACCGTACTTCATAATTTAGCTATTAGGCTTGAATTTAAAAATTTTTTTTTTCTCTCAACTTCATACAAATAAATTAGTTTTTTGTTTTTGAGAAAGGTATTATCATCATATTTGTTGATTTTTAGTAATAAGAGAAGTTTTTATTTAATCATTTTTATTTAAATGAAAAGAACTTAGTGTTCATACTAAAAGTAAATACTTGAATTGAAAAGTAAAGAGCACTCGGCTATGTCAAGTTGCCTAGTCTGATCCAAAATATCATATGAACGCGACTAGGCACTTTCATATTCGATGAAAGAGGCAACGAAAAAAAAAAAAAATCAAATTCGTTTTTTTTTCTTCGCAGAGCCGTAAAACGACGTATTACTTATTGTTTTATTGATGGTATATAATATATTCTATAGATCAAACAATATTTGAGTGTCGAAAAGAAGAAGAAGAACGTTATACATGATGATGAAAAATTAATAAAAATAATCTGTTGAGAATAGAAATTGTTTCTGTTACGTTGGTTTAATGATGAACATTATAGACATTAGTTTGTTTATTAAATCAATGGAGTTCTTCTAAACGCATTTTATTTGAACGACGTCATACTTTGTATGGCACACTTCGTGACTTTTCTTTTTCCTTTTTTACTTCAACTAACTACGCAGATGTTTTTTTCTTTTCTTTTTACAGAATGAGAAATGTGAAATCAATAAAAAATAAAAATATGATATTTTAGGTATGACAAATACCAAAATTTCGTTTGACGACGAATAATCCTGTTGTACAGTTTCAATTGATCTCAAAGCCTTATTTTGAAATAGTATTTTATATGAAGTTAAATACTTTATCAACCACGAGTGTACCCTTTTATGAATACTAGAGTATTTACTAAATTGATATTTTTCTTGTAAAATTACTTTGGCACTTTCAGGGATGTTCCCAGTAGAGGAGTGAGGTCACCGCAATCTCGGGATATTTTGTTCTTTTTGCTCGATAATTTACAATTTTTTTTCGAGAAAATGTTTTCTGTTTTTTCAATTTGTAGGAGCCACTTAGTACCAAAATCATCAGCTCTTATAGGAAAATACTGACTTTCTCACAATTTTGATCATTTCGAGATACTTGATATTAAAATTCGATTTTAAACTATTTTCTCTTATTGTATTTTGATTTGAATAACTTTTTCTACTTAAGCCTTCCATTTTAGACGTATATCCAAAGATTCCGACATAAGTTTCATTATTTTAGAACAATTTTTAGCGTCTTTTCACGTACAGAAGAATATCTCAATTTTATCATTCAGTTAGAAGAATAAATCAGAAATAGAACTTGATATTTTCTATCCATTATTATAAAAAGAATAGATTTTTCAATAATAAGTTTAGAGAAAATTGGCAAAGAAAAGTTCGATTCCGTAGTAGAAAAACTAATCTATCAAAAACTAACAATTTAATTTTTTTCATCTGCTATATGATAATAGTTAATAATTATTATTAGAACATTGTTTACGAATATTAAAACATGACTGATTTATTTTTTTTTAAATAAATAACAAAGTTCTACGCGATTGAATATGATTTATGTCAACGATATTTTGATATTCAACTCATAGAAAAAAATCAACTATTATTGTTTTGTTTCCATAAAAATAATGCACAGGATGTCTTAAAAGTTCATGTGAAAAGTATACACAAATATTTCTTATACAATTCAAACGATTTAATTGTTTTTTTTTTAAATAATATGATAGTATATTCTTTCAATTTTCATATTATACAATTAGGCTTTTGCAACAAATGTTTACAATGATTATCATCAAATGAAATACATAAATTCATCGTTTTCAAAATCTTTAAAAAATATATTGCAGAAAGATTTTTTGCGAATTCCATCATATTTATCGAAAAACTATGGAAATGAAAAGACATTTCGATATTTTCTAATATTGGTATCAACGTGAGATAATTTCAATTTGATTTGGTGAAACTTTTTTCTGCATTTATTGGTCAATATGTACCTTTTATGGAAGATATTCAGTCATGATACGATTGACTGTTATTCGTGGAATGAAGTAAGTTGCTGCAACCACCCCGAAAACTTGATAGTGACATATTTTGACAAACATCATGAACTTCATCAATTTTTTCTTCTGTAATTTTTGAATTGTCTACTTATTACTATACTGACGTGGAGTTATTCATAAAGGACATTCAGACAAGGAAAGAACAGCAAAACTTTGACAGAGAAAAGAGATGGGTTCATTAAATATTCTATGATTTTAAGAGAATTATCCTACAACATATTCCAATCAAAACGTAATTCAAGAGAGATCACTAGACGTGCAGAATCTACTGGTACAATTTCCCCGAACGGTAAAGTTTTTGCGAAAAAATTTCCTTTGCTATAAAACTCAATTAAAAACAAGTTTTCTTGTTTTAAATTTTTATTCAAAACAAAAAAAACAACTACCACTATTTAACATATTGCAAATACGTATTAAGAAAATAGTAACTATTCAATATCGTTTAGTTCAGGTTTTTTTGTTTATTGTGCTTTTCGTAAACGATTCGAACTAACTGAACCATAAGAAACATATTTCAATTTATCGTCTATACTTGATTTGGTGGAACTAGGATTACTCGAATAGAGCCAAATTGAACCCGACCATATTTTAGGTATCAACGATTTATTTGGATAAATAAATCTACAGAGTTTGAAAAAAAGAGAGGAAGAAAAAAAACTAAAACAATGAAATCCTGAGAAACGGGAAATATGGAAAGAGAAATGGTAGGGCTCTTGACTGATGTCTTATGCCCTCCGTAGGAAAAAGTAAGCTTAATTTATGTGAACATGGGTTAGAATATATGTAAGATTTTCTCTTGATGTATTGTCGTTGCAGTTTTCTGCTCTTGTAATTGATCTTTGAAGAAGGAATGTGGCGTAATTTTTAATCCTGGGAACATTTGTACTATTATGTATGTAATCTGTAGANAAATTCGATATCTCTGTCAAATCTCAATATGGGCACGAATCCTTTGGAGGTTTCTCTAATCTAGTGGTCCCCTACCTAATGGGCAACATATGAGCTCAAAAGTTTTTAATCACTTGGGAACGTTCCCTCGTGAGTACTTTACACTCACATGAGTCTAACTTCTAGACATTCTTTATCTTGGCAGATTAGATCCTGTGAATCATCAAAAAATCTGATTGTGGTGTGCTGATAGTCCTCTTGGAAAAATTTTGAATATCTGGATAATGGAACAATATTTATTCAAATGGCTTGCGTCAAAATTCATAAGTCTTTGCTCTCTACAAGAATATCTTAATTTGAGCAGAATCTGATGATCACGACTGGGCAGCTTGTCAGAAAGTAGGTCGCAATTTTACGTAAATTAGCTCATATATACAGCAGAAAAGATTTTTGTTCTGGTTAAAAGTAAATACCCAAGATTTTGAAAATTGTTGCTAATGGGTGGAGGTCAGTAGTGCTTAGTTCCAAAGCGGCCGCCCGTAACTTGCCCATAAGCGATAGAAACCCTAACCACAATGCAGAGGGTATAGCTAGAACCTATGAAATACCTCTATATTGCCTAATGAGAAAAAAAACTGGCTTTGATTGTGTCAGTCTGCAGGGTATCTACAGTAGTATATATTCACAAAGTTTCATGCCTAAAAACATCATGGTTGAAAAATGGTGAAGTATACACTGAGTGGGTACTGTGTTGGCTAGCATCAATTTTTAGTTGAGGATGCCTCCATTGGGATTACAATATCTCAACAGAGGAAAGGTTTTAGAAGAAAAAGTTTTAGGGGTTTTCCTATCTTATCCAGGACTACATACAGGGAAAGTTTTATCAAAATCGGTGACAACAATTGGACACACTTGGTAGCCCCTGTCGTGCAATGCCTCCTAGGAAGTAGAAAAAATCGAGAACAATTACTATACAGTGCTTCACACCAGCTAGCTTCTCCGTTATTTATCCTAAGTAAACGTGTATTATTAAAGGACCTATCCCAATCATATTGACAAACGAAACAAGACCGATGATATAAGGATGATGAACCAATGCTCAATGAATAGATGCAATCAGGCGATGACGAACACATAGATTAGTGTTCAAAATGATGAAACTATTTATTCTTCTTTGTATAGAAGTGTATGTCATTGTGATTTTTTTATTCATTAAAATTTAATATTTACAGATTTTATTATTTTTACAAGATAAAGATGTCATATAGTCTCGGATTCTGATAATCATTTGATTTTTTAGTTTCCAGTTTCTGTAAAGTTTAACTTTTTGGTTTCGCACATATCTAGTCGGATCGACTGATCTACCAGTAACTGGCGCTGTTTTCATCTCAGCCGTACATAATATTTGTAGCTATTCTATTGATCACGATAGAGATTATAATTAAGTATTTTCTTGAACAAAACAAAAATCATAATACGATGCTATTTTGAACAAAATATTATATGAATCTTTCAAAAATCACAATTGCGAATATGCTGAGAGTTGGTTTATTTTTCTCTAAGAATCACTTGATAAATCAATCAAACACAAACAAAATGTTGCTAAACATGTATCGTGATGATTTGATGATTGTGTTTGAGAACGTGATCGAAATGATCGACTACCAAATGATATAATTTGTCCTTGTTTACGACGTTCACAAACTTTTCGACGAATTCTTGAACTTGTCATTAGTAAAATTGGAAAATGTGAACAATGATGAACTATTTCCATAAGATCACATATAAGTACTAGATTATTTGTTGGTATTTGTTCACCAAGTGTTATTCTCCAAGCAAACAATATTCCAACAGGTAACGTTAATATAACAAAAAATATACTTGATAATAACATATAAATGAGAATACTACGTTCTCTCCAATCACTAGTTTTATTTGTACCTAAATGACGACGTCGTTGATAACTTCGACGTCTTAAACCAATAACTAAAACAATATTTGTTGAAATAATAATTAATGGTAAAATAATATTATTTAAACCCATATTTTCAATAAGTAAAAGGTTAGTTAATGAAAATGAATAACCATATGCATGATAATGTGCATTATTACATGTATATAGAGTTGAATGATTAAATAATATAAAATAACAATATGATGCATCTAATGGCCAGAAAAGAAATGGATGATTATAAATAACAATAAATAAAACAATGAATAATATTATTAAACAAGCACGTTGTCGAGTTATTAACCAACGGCGATCTATTGTCCATACTTTTAAATTACGTTCAATACCTAGACAAAAGTTCATTTATAAATAAACAAAGTTTTTTCAACGCACCGAGTTTATCAACAAAGAATCTTCGTTTAGTAGGTAAATACATTAAAAAAAAATTTCCAGCTAACATTTTATAAAGTCAATCGTATATCTACAAAGATGCATTTTTATTATCTAATATGATCACAGAATACTAATGAGAGTAAAGAAAATCGATGATTATAATCAACTGTGTTTTTTCCTTCGATAGCTAACTATTATTGAAATCTACTATTGCTTTAAATATCTTCTCTATTATTTAATTTACTAGTACTCTAGTTAGTCCTAGTTTGAGTTCTGTACTTGTGATAGAGAAACTTCATATAGTTGAGATTTGGTCGTATTGAATTGATCAAACATCTTTTCCTCTGTCAGGTGATCGATTCAAAACTGCAATAGACCGAACACCTGTCTTCGTCGTGGAAGACTAATGCATAGTATATACTGCACTAAACATGAACATGTGGAAAGAAATCCTGTCCTGGACGAACTCTGATGTCGGATAAAATAAATATCAATTGAAGTGCCCGTCATACATTACCTAATGCACCAAGAAATGCATATGATATATTTTCACTACTCATTGTTAAAAACCATGTTATTGAACAAACAAAATATGGATGTTGAATATAAACAAATAATAAATGAATAAAATATTCAGCTATAATTTTAATAATATCAACTATGGATAAAGCTATTATAAATATAGCATAAGGTGTATTAAAAAGAGATTTTGTACGAATAAAAAGTAAACATGAACAAAGATTAAGTATACAACCGATTATTGATAAAAAGAAGCCAATTATAAAAAATGATAAAATTATATTGGAATCAGCATCAATATAACATGAAGAATTCATTATTGTCATTGTAGCTTATTGGTGATTTCTACTAAATAGTAAATCATATGCATTTCTATATATATATATATATTGAGTTCTAAAACCGGATGAGCAATGCTGTATTTTTTATTCTCGTTTTCTTTTGATAGGAAATGAAGTAAGAAAAATAGAAGTAAATGAAAGAATATAAAAGTGGAATAATAATTTGTTTTCTTTTCTTGATGTGTTTTGTTATCTCAAGAATAGACATCGATTGAGTATTTGATGAATGAAGTCTCTAATAGATATTGCGTACTTGCTATTGATTGAAAGTACTTTGATCATATCAATTGCATTAAAAAATACGCTATGATTAATGTTCTTCATCCATGGTAAGTTCTGTCAAATGTATTGGTTCTCGAATGAGTATAAAATAACATTTTTTTTCCAGTTTAAGCCTTTATACATTTAAATTTATACTAAATTCCAAAAGATTCATAAAAATGAGATCAGATAAATTTTGCATATCTATAAAAGATCAATACGAAATGATTGATATTTTCAAAAGAGAAAGAAAGATCTAATTGCATTTCTAACAAGCTTCAACAAAACGATTAAATAATGATTCTCTCAGAAACACAACGATAATTTGATGTAAGTCAATTTTTATAAAAAGACGGTCTAGCGTTCGTTATTTTTTAATAATGTAATAGGTTTATAGATTGTGAACTTTATCTTTGCACTTTTCCGTCAATAAATACTATTCTTTTCCGCTCGAAGTCATTATTAATGTTGACGTGTAACATTTAACAACATTACCTATTTATATAGAACATGCCAAATAGATGTTTAGAAAATATAAATATATTTTGACTGTCTAAGAGTAAAGAGTATAACAGTTTTATGTATGATTAAAAATAATCTGATCAAAGAATAGTGTTTTATTTTTAAAATTTTATGCAAAAATCTAATCAGATTAGATTACTCATAAACGATGTCTTTATAGAGAAAAATTGTAGTAAAACGCACTCTTTAATATGACTATAAAGTAATGTTATTAGTCTAGAAACATATAAAGTTAACTAACCAATTTACATTAAGAAATGATTAAGAACTCATGAGAGAACTTCTTCAGATGTCCTCTTTCGATTCCAATGATTTTTGTTGCCTATAGTTGCTACATACTGTCCTAATAAAACCCTAACAGGATTTTGGTTTGATAAAGCTATAAAATTCTTTTTCTAGAAGCTAAACGTTTTCGAAAAACTTTTCACAACGCGGATAGGGGTTTACATCTTGAAAGTTTCATATCTCAAAGGAATTTTGTTCAAAACTTCTGAATTTTTTTAATGAAAACTAATCTAGTAGTTGAATTCTCTATATGCCCAAAGTTTCAGATCAAAATTCGATAGCATAAGAAAACTCAAATCCTTGTTGAGTTTTTATTAGCACATTATGTCGTATGTTTAGACAAGAAAATCATTGAAATCGAAAGAGGAGCATCCGAAGAGATTATCTCATTAATTTGTGACTAATTGGATAAAACTGGTAACGTGTATGAATTCTTTTTTTGAAACGAAAGAACTCTAACTAGAAAGTAATTAATATAGTTGATGAATTTCAACACTCTTATGAATATTCTTCTCGTTTATGACTAACGTAGAAAAAAATAGAGTTTTTATCATATTATCTTTTGTTTTGCTATTAGAATAACTGAGTGGTCTGTAATTTAACTGATGAACTTCTATTAACGATAGAAATCTTATCATATTCGATTGACTTTGTATTTGATTGCTGCAAAAATGGTAACGACAAAGAAAAACAATTTCAAACATGTTCAACAGGATAACTTAAAAGAGCCTATATTCTTAAAATAAAAGAAAACGATTGCTTGAATTTGAACGCTTATAGATAAGAAAAACACTCATAAAACAAGCCAATAAGCAAATTTTGACGCCAACAGGAATTCAAAATAATGTATTTTTAAGAGAATAAATTTCAAATAAAAAAATGATGTAAATATCATTGTGTACGTATACAATAAAAGCTGAAGGAAAATCAAGACTTTCCATCATATGTATCTTGCCCACATCAATGAAGTACGGTCAGTTCTGGTCAGACTCCAATGATCAAATCTGATTGAAACAGATCATAGCCGACCACTGGATTTCTGTTGTCCAAGTTCCTACCATTTACGGACCAGAAGCCACATCATTTTTGTGAAATCCTAAGGTGAAAATAGTTGTCTTTAAAAGACTTTATGAAACTTCAGCATATATTAAAAATTGTTAGCACAATCTTTTTGGAATTAAAATATTGCAGGCGATACAGTTGTTGTTACTAATCATAGAGAGATTGTTTTATTTTGTCTATTTTGAGACACATTTCTTTAATATCTCCTTTTGCTTAATCCTCAAGAAATTCGATATGGAAGTCTTGAAGCCTGCTGTTTTCTCAGGTTTTAGATCATGCTTCACAAAGAGTATAGCTCAAAGACTTCCATCGGAAATATTTGAATCCTGATGATGGAATCGTCGGCACTGGTGTTTTTAACCCGATAAACAAATTTACTGATTATCGAACTAATTCCACAAACATAAAAGGCAATATCTACCATTCGTCGAATTTTATATAAGCCTCAAATGCCCTGTAATCATAGATTGAAGAAATTCAAATACAAGAAAAAAGAATAGAATTCTATTGAATTGTGAGATTAGCTTGAATTTCTTGGCTTCCAACGCAATTCAAACACTGAAGATGTGAAGACGCTCTTCTCTCATGTTTGCTATGTTCGCTTGAATTTCTTCGTTGCCAATTTCTGAACTATGAATCTATCTTTCTATGCATCGATGTCATCTACATTCCTATTGTTAATCTGATATAAACCTTGAGCATTGTGGACTTGTGTTTATTTCATTAATAAAACATAAATACCACAAACAAAAACTTTTCACTTAATTAATTTAAAAATGCTGAATTCCCTTTAACTTATGTAATGATTACAAGAAGGTAGGGTTTATTATATACAATAAAACGAAATAATTAAGACCATGTTTCCCATTCATCATCGAATTCATTATCTATTTTTTTTGATGTTGCTATTGTTACTATCGATGTTGAATTTTCACATGGAATTGTTTCATTATATTGATTTGATTGAATTGTATTGATATTAGATGTAACAAGATTTATTTCATCAAACTCTCGATCCCAAGTATCACCTAAAACTAAACGAATAATTTAATCTTTATTCTAATTTTCCTTTTTTTTTCTAATGGATTTTAATACTTGTATCACTATCTTTTCCTTCGCACGTTAAGATTTCCGACGTCGATTCGACATCTATCAAAAGAAAAAAAATATATATATTGTTTGATATTGTTAAAGAATTATTTATTTGTTTGTATGGTTTTTACTGGGTTCATCCCAATCATTTTCATTATTTTCATTACATATTTCATGTGCACGTTTTAATAAATTTAATCGTCGTGTTTCTTCTTCATCAAATTTATACATACGATAATAATATCGAGACCAAAAATCATTATGGGTTGTACATGCAGGTACAAAATGTGCATAAAATGAACGTATATATGGAATATCAATTAATAATTGTGCTATTTCACCTTTACGTTTATCAACATTAAAATCAGTTTTTTCACGCCAACTTTGATAAGATTCAATTGGTGTTGGATCAGTTAAATAGGTTGATTCATCATTTTGTATTCGAATTCGTTCATTCTAAAGTTAAATATATTTTAATATAATAAATTTATATAGACTTGCGAAGATTCTCATGTTTATGGAAATGTTAATCATAGCATTAAGAAGTTTAATAGCTTTTATTTATATCATGGATAGATTCCGCTAGATATTAATCATTTAAAAAAAATGTTTTGCACACTAATCGATTTATTAGTAATTTAATGCTAATTTGTTCTAAGACAAAATTAGTGTCCTGCACGAGTACGACTTTTTGCAATTGGACTTAAATCGACAATTCGACAAATCCTTGCACAGTTACCGTACAATTTTCAAATTTTTATTTTATATCAAAAAGTATACTATTTAGGTTCTTCCATAAATAGCAAACAAAAAAAACCGAAATCATCTCAAAGTCGTGCGGATACACATAGATCCATGCTATCTTCGTCATGGAATGTCATCAAATTTTTTTTTAAAATTCTTTGTTCTTCTGAAATGTACTACGTCGACTGTATGTAATCATTATCGCTTTAGTCAACAAAGGAAAAGCTCATAGCTATAGCATGAGGCTGAATAGTATTCGATAACTAAAGATGGTTTCTTGTAAGAAAAATAGATATGAATTTGAATAATCAAGAAATTATCATGGCTTCATTAGAAGTATGTTGAATGATCTGAAGAGAGAATCATTCAGAATGATACACACCATTTGAGCTTATATTGAACCGACAAGGACGTCTGAGTGAGGCTAGCAAAATTTTAAAAAGGTTTGTTTCTGTGGGCCTTTGGCACCGAGTTATGATCATTTGACTGAGTTTTCGAATCCACTTTAGATAGATGTCGAAAGTCAAAAAGTAGAATTTCTATCAGAATTTTGATCATAGATAAGTTTAATGATTCTTAGAATATCCTGAAAATTTCAGCCGAAGCGATGATTCTTTTGTCAGGATATTGAATTGTCAAAAAATAAATCGTTTGCTACAAGTATGACACAAAAATTTCAAGATATTCTGTAGATCATTAGATTTATCTATCGCTACACTTTTAAATAAAAATTCATCTTTTTAAGTCTTTCGGTATGTATATAAACCTGGATCAAAAATTCAGTAAAACGATTGTAATTACTGTAGTAGCTTAAACGGCAGGTTTCAGTGCGACCCATTTTTCTCGTGAGAACTAACTTCGATCAGAATTCTAAAACATACAGAACAGATAAATATCGTACAGTAGCACAAAATTTTTCACAAGACCTCTTCCTATAAGATATGGCGACCATAAGACCTGAAAATGGCTTCGGTTTTTGCTCTTGTTAGTCCTGTCTACTAGGTTCGATCGACCTAAGGCGTTTTTGTATATTGTTTGCTGCAAATAAACTGCAGTCAAAGTTGCAGCTCGATCACATTAAGTATGTCGAGAAAAGAAGGACAAGATTCTGCACTTCACATGAAAACAACTTCATTCCGATGAATAAAAATAATCAAACCGAATATTTCGACTGACGAAAATGAACGTACCCTTAACCTGTCTAAATTTATTGTTAGTATTTTTCATCTAAGAAGCATATGCGGTTTATAATTACCGATCTCTTTTCAAGTTCAATCGAAATAGACACGAAGAAGCATATAAATATTCTATAGTTTCTTTTTTTTATTAATAAAAGATCAAAACTCAATCTTGATCCTCTTGTTAAATCAATTAATAAGCTCAAAAATCCTAAGAAAACATTAAATTTATGCAAAAATTAGAAACAATTTTAAAAAAGATTTTGGAACAACATACATGAAGTCGATCAAATGACGCCGATGGAACAATGGGCTTTCCATTATTATTATTATTTCTATCAGATGTAAGAGTATTACTAAATTTTGATACAAATTGATTAATACCAAGATCACTAACCTAAATAAACACTATATACATTGTTTAAATAAAAAAAAAAAAAGTAATTTTTACAGGTTGTTGTTTTATTTTATTTAAATAATTTTCTGCGTCAGTTTTAACCGTTGTTGTAAATTCTGATAAATCTTTACGTACAAATTCCAAAGCATTAAGAGACTAAAAAGCAACCAATGATGATGTTATTGAATTATTCTTTTTATTTTTCTATGCTTACTTGTTCACGAACAGTTTGAAGAGTAGATGTAAACCAATTATTCATATCTAAAATATTCATATATTTATTAACAACAATAAGAGATTTTATATTAATGACTAAATAATAAAATATTTCACTGTTACATCAACGGGTTAACAAAGATATATTTAAACACACACATACACAAAAACAACATTCAAAATCGATATATATATATATAAATATAATCTATTGCACTTTATTGAATAAATAATTTTTCGATATGATTAAAATTTATAAATTGATAATATTATATTTTAATCATTACATTGAGCTCCATCACGAATACAAGTAACTATATTTGATAAACTAAGTGTTGTACCAGCAATAAATACATAAAGACCAAAACTAATTATCAGAATATTTAATATTAATTGCCATTTATAACGACCAAGACTATCAGGCCAAAATGTTATCGATTCACATATTGGAGGAAATATAACTGATAATGCTGTAGATGCAACTGCACCGACTAAATTAACAAAATACAATTAAAGATTTTTTTTTGTTATAGACATAGATAATTTACCTAGAGATATAACAAGACCAAGATTTGGTATTAATGCAGCTATGATAACTAAAATTTTGAAAAAGAAAACAATAAGTTTTAGATAATCATTTTAAGAATTTTCAATCTGGAAAGGGACACAGACCAACAACGAATCGAACCCAAACTAATTTTCGAAAAGTGAGTAAATATAGATAAATGTAAGAGAAAAGAATTGATTCAGGTATCACCTTTTTTGTAAAATTGTAATGCTCTGGGCAACGATAAAACGTCGCTTGATTGATTGTTTTACATTAGAAACCGAACCGAACTCGCATTAATAAGACTCAACTCGATTTTGCTTCTGAAGGGAGAATCTCCTTAAGGTCCCTCTACCCAAAAGCTTTTCTTCGTCTCAAAACAATCGATCCAGTTGAAATTTTCAGAAAACATGTTCTAGCCTAGAAATCTTTTATTAAAAATTTTAACCCAAAATATTGAGCTTTTCACGAGTTATCTCTAAATTGATAGTCAAAAAAGTAGATCTCTGTTTGTCTTGACTTTTCTACCAAATCTAATTCTTCTTTTTTCAATCTTTGGCATAAGTGTTTTCGAAAAGCTTGGAAACATTTATCAAGTTTCCTAGTATATAAAATGGCTGAGAAATTTGGGAAGCATAAGCAGAAAAACACTAAACAAAATTTGCAAGTGAAAATCAATGTTTCTATTTAGTAAAACGCTAGAGAAAACATATCGGTCACAGTCTACCACGTGTTATATGATTAGAGCGAATCAAAGGTTATAAATCTAAAAGAATGAAGCCTAAGTATCAAAAAGCATCTCTTCAGAGATAACACTGTTAAAATAAATAGACGACACAATTTTAATTACTCAAAGGCTTGTTATTTCCCAAGTTTTTAGTAGATTCTTCACTATGAGACACCTTAGAAAAAGTTCAAAAGGCAATAATAACTAACATTTTCAAAAAAAAAACTATTTTTTCTGATATCCCCGCATCATAGGGTACACACTGTGTAAAACCGTGAAACAATGTCAGAGTTCCAATCAATATTATTGTTTTCGAAAGTAGAGACCGAGAGTTATTTCACTACATAAAAATCTCAAAATAAATTTTTTTGATGAAATACTAAAAATATCAATAACTATTTCAAATAGAAATTGTTCATCGTAGCTTATCAATTCCAACTAATTTCGTATTCTCAATGTAAAAACACCGTAAAGATGTTGTAATGTTGCCGTATTCTACCATACATATGAAGACTATATACTATATATCTACTTACAAGTAATGAAAATAAGTCCAATACGAAAAGCATGTTCCCATTTACTAACTGTCTGTCCACTATATTTATAAAGAATTTTTCGACAAAGACGTGGCCAAAGAAGTGAAAACGGAACATAAAATTGTAAATTATATGTCAAAAATATAGCCACAGCATACATTATTTTAGTAAATTGATATAATCTATATAAAAATATGAACATATATAAAGTGACGTATTTATTGATGAAAAAATATTACTTATTATCATTTGGTAAATTAAGCGTAATAGAACCAAGTGCTTTTGATCCATATCGAATATATCCAAAGAAGCCGACAACGAAATACATAATCGTAACAAGAAGAATACCTATATTAAGTATTCCAGTCCAACCACTATATGATTCAGGTTCTTTCATTTTTTGTCGAATTGGTAAAACCTAATTAGATATCGATTTATTTTGTTTCTGAATTATTTCATATTCAATACTTACTAAAGCAATACCTTCGAATACATACATTGCAGATGCAAAAAATACTGGCCAATCTGATGCGGATGTGATAAGAGGTAATTTATTAAGTGGTATATGATCTTGAACAATATATTGCATTATTATAAATAATCCTATATATATATATATATATAAATTCAATTAATTAATTCGATTAATAGTTTTTAATTTTCTTACCTCCGATAGTCATTATATTAGCAGCAAGTGAAAATGGTGCAAGAACTTTAAGACTTCGAATCATAGAAAAACCGATAACAAGTATAAGCATTATAAATTGATAGATTTGAATCGGTGGACTATGATGAAAATAATGATCGACAACCTAGTGTAAAGTTTAAACAAAAAATAAATAAATCAAATAAACGAATAACAGGTTATTTCAATAATTAATGCAAAATAATCTGAGAGTTATAGTTCTTTAGTCTCAAATTCTCAAGTTCTAAGGTTCTTGTCGAATTTTATGACTCATCTTGAACTAGAATATCATATTAGCAGTGCAACAAATGGTATGTAAAAAATCTAATTTTTCTCAAATTTTGATGTACTAAGCATCGATACGTTGGTGATAATCCTTGAGGAATATATACATAGTTCTCATCAGTAATGGTATACTTGGTATAGTACTTGGCACCTTTCGTACTAAGTACGTAAAAATATTAAGTACAAGAACGTTCTTCGTAATACAAGTACATACATTTTTTTTACTTAGCAATTGTACTTTGTACTGATATCTAAGTACATTTATTTATATTCGCTTGTACTTAATAGGATGCTCTCTTTCCTACATAAGTACTTTTATATTTTTCATTTTTGTTTTTTTTCTTCTTTACATATGGTTATAACTGACTTTCACCTATTAGACATATTTAATAACTCCACCACAGCTTTAAAGTTGTAAAAAATGAGCGAAATGAAACTTTTTCAAATAATCTTTAAAAATAACAATGAATATATAAAGGTGTGATTGTAGGTTAATACTATGAACAATAACTTTAGCACCTACATCCCACACACATCATTAATTCTGCCATTATCAATTGAAGAAAAATTGAAATATTTTTTCAAAAGTTCACCAGTCATTAGCTCTTGATGAACATTCAGAAAAAACTATTTAAAATTAGTTGTTCGATCACTAAAGAAAAATATCAGTTCTTGTGAATTAAGTCAAAACAATCAAAGTTCTCGTTGTTTATGACGTGCTAATTAGCTTCTAATTTATATGATTTTCTGATTTCTACCTCAATTATTTACCATCATTCATGATTATAAAAATATGGTAATGAGGATTCTATCAACTAAGGATTTTACTACAATGTATGTTATTAGACTACGAAAATGGTTGATGCTGATAAAGTAATATTAATTAAAGCAGAACACGACACGGTCCTGAAGTGTAAGTACAAAGTACAATTGTTAAGTGAAAAAAGCATTTGCACGTGTGCTTACAGTACTTGGACTCGTCCAATCACTGGTTCTCATGGGTATTGTTGTCCCTATGATGTTCTAAGATAAACTTATATAAGTTTTATTTTTAAACTTAGATCGATACAGTTATAGATGCTTTTCAATTTTTCATAATCTCAAATTTTGCATCGTATGGATCTTTCAAAACAGCAGGAAGTCATTATCAACTTCCAAGATTGTTCACTAGAATAGCCTATATGAAGCGGCGGATTCATTGACGATATTTTAACAATGCTCAATGGTCCTATTAAAACATTTTACTGCATCAATAATTAGCACAACATCTCTGATGAATTTATATAAAGAAATTCATTTTTGAAATAAATACAGGATATTTATAAATTCTTCTAGAGCTTCATGTATAAATCCAACAGACTTTGTTCCTGTAACCATATTTCTGTACCTTCCTCCAGGGATCTGGAGACCAACAAACTTTTTCTGCTTAATAAAGAAATTGTTTATATCAATTCATTAGGGATGTTATACTGATTATTGATACATAAAAATTTTCAATAGGACCGTTGAGTATAGTTAAAATACCATCAATAAACCGGCCGTTTCATAAAGACTATTCTACCCAGTTAGACAAACAACAGCAAAAAGCGTTTTTATGCGTTTGATTTCTGAAATGAATAAATTGTTAGAGAAAATAGTCCTATCCATAGACTTTGTTTGCTTGAAAAATACTTCGAGTAAACAAAGTCTATGTATCGAACTACAAGAATCTCATCTAATCACCGAATGTTGTATGAAAGTCACATATATAAAAGGTCTGTGATAAGATTCGAGTCTATTTTGACTTTATTTTTTCGTATCTTTTGAATATTCCAATTTGAACAAGCATTGAAGATTACATTTGAGCAGATAGTCAAATTTTATTCACAAAACTGCTATCACCAGTAAAAAGAGGTACACATGTCACTTTTTTATATAGATAAAATAAAAAATATAATGTAAAAGAATTTTAAAAAAAAAAGCCATCTGATGAAATTATTTTAAGATGATGATGAATAAAGCACTTTCTTATTAATAATGGTAGTTGAATTCAATAGATTTCGAATAATAATAATATAGAAGTCACTTTTTAACAATATATCGTAAAACTCTGTTCAGCTTTAGATGCTGAAAAAATTAAAATAGGCTAGAAATTTGTAAAACATCGTATATATAATCAAAACTTATTAATAATGTCTAACTAATGTTATTCGCTTCTTTCTTATTTCTGCTGACCTAAACAGAAAAGCTTAAAAATGAAAACTCTATTTTGCTCTAAATAATAAATAGAAAGATGAAAGATTGATATGATCGATAACATTCGATCGCTTCATATGTTATCTGAGTTACCTATGTCAGAATAAAAGATTTTAATAAAAACACTACAATTTAAACATAGATCTATACTATATTGATCTATCAAATATATTAGCTCTTAATAGACTATACGAAGGAAAGAATCAATGATTGATATGAGGGAAAGTGACAGGTGGCACTATTATTTAACGAATATATGACCGATTGGGCAAATTACGTAAACGAACGGGATAGTTAATCAAAATAGTACAAGAATAAAAAAAACTAAACAGATGAGAAAAAATGAAAAATCCATTTGAACATGTTCACAAATAGTTGGATCATTCAAATTATTATTGGTGGACTTGAAATTTTTTTTTTCAGAATGTGATGGCGGAATAATAATCAGTCGAAAATGTTATGTAGTTCATGAAAACAAAATCTGCAAAATCCATGTTTGAACGCGTTTTATAAGTCTGTGATGTATTTTTTTTTCCTACAGTACTCTACTTCTATCCATTTATTTGATACTTAATCCTTGTCTCGATACTCTTATATTTATATCCTTACAGCTGTATCCATATATCTGTATGCTTACCCGTATACTCTTATAGCTACCCTCTTATATTTATAGTTTATACGTATACTTCGATACTCATATCCTTATACTTATGTCGCTATAACTTGCCTATTAGTCCTATAGTCAGAAAGTATGCAAAAAAAGGAAAATCTGATGCATTATTTGTTGAATGAATGCTTTACATAGTCGGGTTTTTATTTAGAAAAGTGTAACTAACATTTCTTGATGGCCTATTTAAAAAAAAATCAATAACTCAAGAAAAAATGAATCAAGTATTGTGAGCGCAAAAAAAAACGAACTATTTTATTCTTATCAAATCTAATCTCTATGAATGAATTGAAAATATTATAAAAATAATAATTTAACTATAGATCATTAGAATTTTTATAAAAAAATTAAAAAAAGAACCGTATGCTGAATTGTTGCAAGGAAAATATTAAACTGAATTGTTATCCCAACATAAATTTATCTATAGCTTTTCAAACTTAGCCAAGTCATTTTTCAAATAGATTAGACCAGGTCTAATTCATTTGCATTTGCTCTTTTTATTACGCAATTATTTTTTTTTCCTTCTTAATATTAATATATAATCTAATATACAGTACTCATAAAATGCATCTCTATAACGGGTCTATTTAAACGGTATATTTTTCAATTTGATACTTCAATATACTTGCCTAAATGGTAGCAGACTTCACATTATAGAACAGCATTTTTTCTCATAATAGAAATATGAGTATTTTAATTTGCCCATAAAAATTCATTCTGGCGTGATTTTGGAGATACATTTTTTTTTTCAGTAAAACAAAAGCTAAAATATTGAGTTTGAATACATGAAAAATAAGCATGTTCAAGTGTATAAAGGAAAACACAATCGAACAGTAATTCAAATGGCGTTTCTTGCAGATTAAAGCTGCGTCTATCATAAGCACGCTCAAACAAACTTTTTTTAGGTGATGTTTTACACTGAAATAACGCACAACGGATAAAAATGATAGCATTAAACACGCTACAAATAAAAACCGATATATTTAAACGAAAAAATAGCATTGTTTTTCTGACAGTTGTCCTTGGAAATCTATTGCATACAATTTTCTTTTTCATAAGAATGCAAAATATGCAAATTTATCTCTTGATAAATGGAAAAGTAATGCAACATACAAAACAACAAATAGTTACGCTTCAGTCGTTTTTATCTAGTTAATACGATATTTTTATTTACGGCGTAGTTCGTACGTTTAGTTACCTTTTCGTTATATTATTGTTAAGCTAGTTCACTTTCTCCAATACTAAATATGGATACCTATAATAACCTTGATTTATTTTTTATCACCTTTTGTTAATATAATCTTACACAACTTTCATCACTGATTTATACAGAGACGAAAAATCAAAAATTTTAATAATTCAAAGAACATTCGATCGTCAAAAATATCAACTAAAAATTCTGCAGTTAAGCGAATGTCAAGAGACGAATCTAATTAAACGCGTTGAATTCTTTTGAAAAACGAGAAATAACGAATTTTTATTGAAAACAATAAAACTCGTGTAAAAACGCATTTTCTCAGCAGTCTTGTCCGACTGGGCATTAGACAAGCTTGCAAGTTGACAATGGCTCCCCGCTGTTTCGATAGATATTATCTGTGAATTATATACAGCTCAATAGCGCGTGTAGTTTTTGAGAAAGCTTCATATTGATACTCATTTGTTCTGTGATACACACTTGAATACAATGAATAGCATATAGTCAAGAAATAATCGAGACTTAAGAAGACGGATCATTGTTTGAATGAAGAAAACAACGATGAAAATTATTGATTATAGAAAATTGAAGAATACCTATGACTGTATCGAAATGAGTTTAAAAAGAAATGTGGGATAAGTTTCTCTTAGAACATCTTAAGGATAACAATTTCTATGAGTATCATATATATATATATTCTTTAAAGATAAAACGAGTATATCGGTGCTTAATACATCAAAATTTGAGAAAAACTTGATTGCTTACATATCAATTGATGTGGTACGAATTGCTCTACAAAGTTACATATATGGTATTTTGTCTCAAGATATATCACCTAATTCGACGTAGTCCTGTGAATTTTCTTCAAATTAAATGATTTTCTCTCTCTCTTATATTCAATAAAATATAGTTGATTATGATCATATAGAAATCATGATTCGCTACAATCGACTTTATTTTAGAAGATGATAACTATTAACAAATAGAAGTGATCACTCATGATTTATGCATACATGATACTTATCTTATCTTGATTATTCAATATCACTGTGAAGCATCTCTTATTATATGTTTCTTGATTAAAGATTTACTTCTATATTACAATTGAAATTAGTTTAAGAACTGAGTGTTAACTAGTGATGAAGCTTCCCTTGCTCAAGTTTCTTAAGAATGATTTGATCAAAAAAATTCTGAAACTTTTAGAGTAGATAGTTTTCGATCAGTAGAGGCAAAATTTATCATAGATTCAGCACAAAGAATCTCACCTGAATCAATCGAAATGTTTCGAATAAAACTTTCATTTTTCTGTTCAAAAATTGATCTCAATAGAACCGCAAACCGATATAACAGTTCTCGCTAATTTGATGTTTTAATGTTTAAAGACAATTTTTAGATACTCGATAGGAAGATTACTACTTCAGACTATACACAATGATTATGAAAATAGATATGCACTTAAGCGTAAATATCGTGAGCAGCACCTTTGGACTTGCTAATTCAAGTACCCAATAATCATTAAAGATATTACCTTTCTGTATAAATCTGTTGCCATTTATATGAAATATATAAATTTGAAAAGCTTATGTCACACACGTATTTTTTTCAATCTTTACATAAATAGTATCATATAAAAACTAATATCTAGCTTCAATTTTTTTTTTTGAAAAAATCGACATTAAATTATCTATGTTAGTGTCGTGTCCTAACATTCTACTCGATCGTGATTATTATCATTAAAAATAATTAATATCCGTCAATGAAATCTCTATAGGATTGAAAAACTAACAAGTCTTATTAATGAGATTGAATAATATATTTAAGTTGTACCTTAAAAAAGCGATTGTTTAAAAGAATAAGTCTTTTCTTCCTTTTCATTTTATTTTTATTTTGACTGTTTAATATTTTGAATTATTATCATAAAATTTAAAAAAAAAAAAATCTTAAGAAAATAACTGAATGTAAAATAAATTAGCAAAATGTGTCACAAAACACAAAAGAAAAAAATGTGAACAGACTGTTTAAATATTATTCGTATAAAAAGAGACAATAATAATCATTAAAAAAAAAGAAAGAAAAAGAAAAAGAAAAGTGTCGTATTTTAAACATTTCTCGCCATTCTAATCGCATTAACCTTGTCAAAAAACATTAACAAATAATGAATAGTTTATTCTTATTGTCACTCAAGAAATTTTTTCTCGTGATCATTATCAAAAAATATGCAGTACACAGGATTCTATTCACACATTTGAACTAACATTGACTTTTTTTATATGTAAAAAATAGTTATATAGGTTTTCAACAATGATAAATTATGAGTATGATGAATAAGAAAAAGATATATTGATTCTTTCTATAACATTGAGTTTATTGAAAACTATTGTTCATGAAGGATACTTAAATACTCAGATAACCAACTATTTTTTTTCATATTATATTAATGGTTAATTATCGATTGTTGAAAATTGACAAAGCATGCCAAAAATATATCCTTACTTTTATCAATTGAATCGCTCAATACTTTTACAAGACTACAATTAAAGCTCCACCAACAATCATTACTTGTTTGATACTAGCTGGCACAAATACAAAGTAGACGCAACAAAAGCCAAGTTGTGTTATTACAATAAAACCATCAATAACAAATCTTATTAGAAAAATAAAAAAAAAATATATATATACATACATGTTTATATGAAAATATTATTTATTTTTACTTTCCCAATTTTGCATAACGATGTACCCATTTCCAACGACAAGTTGCTAATGTATATCGCATAATATCGCCAAAATCACATTTTTCTCGTGATGTACTAAATAAAAATTTCTTATTAATTCATACTTTACATATATATTTGTTAACTAACAGATATCGATAATGATCATGACATCGAAGAAGTTGATTCATACAATAAAGTGTCATTGCACCCATAATCCAAAAAGCAATAGGTCCAAACTAAAATAATACAATAATAATAATAATTAAATGAAAACAAAAAAAAAAAAAATAAAGAAAATTTAATTACAAGTATTCCAGCCTTTGATAATGCATAAGGAAAAGCAAGAATACCGGCACCAATATTGCCTTTTATTAAATGCATTAATGTTTCTAAGTTTCTAGATAAGAAAATAATCTCTAAATTAATACATTAAATTTAAGAACAGTAAGATAAAATTTTACGTTGTTTTATGATCAGTTTGATCTCCGACAATTGAAGAAACCAATGGTGCAACCTAAATAATTCAAATCGACTATATCAATATAAAAAGAAACTAAAAATAGATTGAATAATCTTGGTTTTTGACTTTTCTGTCTTAAATTAAAGCTATTATTTTGATGAAACACAAAGAGTAAAAGCTTTGTTCTGATCATAAGTTAATGTTAATAAAAGAAAAGAAATCTTTCATACAGCTTCATTTTCGTTGTTTTCATCAACATGTGATATCATCGAACTTGTTTCATCATCAGTTTTAAATAGAAGAGGACGATCAGGATATTCAGACATTGATACTGATGTTGGAATAGCCGATGGTTCAGAGAATGTTTCTGATTGACTACGAGTTGGTGAAGTTGACATTTTAGTACTTATTTCGATTTCTAAAATGAAAAGAAAAAAAAAAATAGTTTTTGGAAAAGCTAAGATCAGCAAAATGTGTTTTTTTCCGAAGAATTATTTTATATTTTTTCAAAGTGATAAAAAAAAATCACAATATGAAATTCGAATCAAATCACTTAAATTCTACTGTACCTCACAGAAAAGTATTACGCCTTTTTTTTTTTTCATGCTCTATTGAGCAAAGAAAGGAAAAACTAGACTAAGTTTTTTTCTATACAATAATACATCACGAATAATTCAAGATATTATTGATTCAAACAAAAAAAAACAAAACTTGCCGTTTATTTAACGATCAAATTTTTTCGTTGTATAAAATTTGAGTAAATCGTACACGATGATTACTGTAAACTTGAGAAAATACAATTCTTTCGCTCACACTAATTGATTGAGGAAAAACATACTCAACAATTCATCAAAACAAGAACCAATAAAAATTTATCATCCATCCTCCTGTCAAATCAAGACTTAACATTGATTGTAGCACACTCTCTGAATTGCACTAATGATTCTTTTTTTTTTTTTTTTTTTCTGTAAATGGTTGATGATGATGTTTATTGTTTTTTTTTTCTACCTTTTCTTTTAAACGAAAGAGAAAAAAAAAATAAGAAAATCATCCATCCTTATAATTATTCTTATTCTGTATTTACCTTTGATCTCACGTTATTATATATCATTCAAAGGTAAATATTTAATTGATTTCAACCAATATGCCGAAAAAACCTTTGGATGCTAATAAACCTCGTGGACCAGTAACAGCTTATGCATTGTTTGTTCGTACATGTCGTGATGAATTACGTCGTAAATATCCTCAATTAACAGTTGATTACAATGTTATAGCAAAGAAATGTTCCGAACGTTGGAAAGTTATGAGTGATACTGAAAAAAAACGTTTTAATGATACAGCTGATTTACAACGTAAACGATATAAAGAAGAAATGGCAACATATTTACAAGAACAATCAGTTAAACAACAGCAACAACAACAACAACAATCTGCAACATCATCAATATTACTTCAAACACCATCAACACAATATCTTGTCGAACCACAACAACATACATTAATTATACCAACACAAACACAACAAACAGCAACAACAACAATTGTTACTGTACCAAAGAAACCAGCAAAAAAACGTGAAAGAAAACCAAAAGATCCTCTTGCACCTAAGAAACCTTTGTCAGCATATTTTCTTTTTTGTGCTGATGAACGACCAAAAGTTCATGGTTCACAAACAGGTAAAGAAAAATATTTTATTTGAACAGAAAAAAAAAAAAACAAAAACAAAACATCATTTGAATATTAAAAAGAAATAAAATATAAACTAATTTTATTCAGTGAGATCTATTAAAGATTAGTATGCATTGTTTTATTTTTATTCTCTATGCAAAGATTAAATCTTGAAATTTTAATCGAATAATCCAAAGTTAAAGTGGATTAGTTCTTATCAAATAAGATCATTTTTTTCTTATTACGTTTAACATTGAATATATAAGATCAAAGAAAGTTTTTTAATTAATAACTCTTGTGCTCAACAACGTAGTCAGAAGGTCAATTTTTTCTTTTTTTGAGTTTCATATCTTCTCATTTTAATTATATAATTGATAATTATGTTATAGTTCAAATGCATGCGATGTAATTTTAATAAACTAATTAGAACCTTTTTTTTTCTGACTGAAAGAATAAAGCTTAGGAGATTTGTTCGAAAGTTGTTTATCTCAATGCATTTGATGGATTATAGAAATAACATTCCCATATTTGCATTATAATATTTCAAGTCAAACAACAGTAGATGATGAATAATATTTAAAGAAGCATTGAAGTCTATTTATTTAAAGATTGAAATCTATTTTTAGATAGTTTATATTAAATTTTAAACGAATTCGTAGAAGTTTACATCTTTCTTTTTGATCTACTCTTAGCTTTAAAACTAACTTCAGTATGTAAATAATCTATTGCAACTTTTAATAGAAGACTACGAGAAAAAATGAAAATATTTTTCTATTTCTCTTATGAATGTTATTATTCATAAATTGAATGAAATATTATTTTAATATTCTCATTGAGAAAAAAAAAAAGAATAGACTTTGACATTAATTAATTTAAATATCTTAAAATATCGTCTTTGCTGATTATTCATAATTATTTTTCTAAGTCAACATATCGAGCTCGACTTTCTCTTTTTTTCTCTACACTAATTATTTGTTTGTTTAACAGATTGATGAGTATGAAAGTCTTTTAGGAATATTTCCTTCGGCTTAGAAGGAGAAACAGCAAAAACATAAATCGTTAATAAAAATGTTAATAAAAAGAAACGAAAAATAGAATATTTAATTGTCAATTAGCAAAAAATCTGTTCTCAACTCATTTTTATTATCTAGTAGACTGAAGTTAATCTATAGGCATTGAAGCTTTTATGTAGTCATCACGTTACTGTCATTCTGTCAAAAACTCTCAGCATAAGTGGAGTTCACTATCTTCTATTAGATTAATCTTTTTTAACAAACACACAAATGGAAAAGATAAGAGGGTACTTTTAATAATGATGTCTAGAAATAATTTGTACCTAACTGCAATGTCAAAAAAGATCTACACAATAAATAGAGTTTTATTTTTAGATTGCATATTTTTCTTTCCATAAAATAAATATGCAATAAAGAAGAAAATAAAACACATACGATTCTTCTTAATATTATATATACGTGATTTTTCATATATATATAGGTATGTCTGTAAGTGATGTAGCACGAGAACTTGGTGTTCGATGGAAAAATGCACCAATTGAATTAAAAAATAAATATGAACAAGCAGCATCAGAAAAGAAACATGCTTATCAAGCAGAAATGGCTATTTATAAACATCAAACATCAACTAGTACATCACCTCCTGAAACTCCTCAAACACCTTTAACACCTCATGATTATCAACCTCTTTTTTCATCATCTTCTATTCAACAGCAACAACATCCACAATTACAACATATACTTCAACAACAACATCAACAAAATTTTACTTCATATGATAATGGTGATACATCTGAACATCCAACTGAATTTGATATGATAACAGGTGGACATTCAGTTGGTGAAAATGATGTTTAATTCAATGAGCATTAATATAAATCTAACTATTTATATTTTTTTTTTTTGTTTGTTTGTTTGTTTGTATGTGATTACGTGTGTCTCTATTTTTCATTCAGATATCTGTTCTGGTGCTTGTGCATATATATGAAGCACAAAAACGAGAAGAAAATAACACACGTCAGAATAGATGAAACTAAATGTATTTTTTTTTGTTCTTTTGTCCGTTCTAGAAGTTATAAAACATGTCTTTGACAACATCTCAACCAGAAAATCATATTCTTCAACCATCGTATATTATTGATGGTACAGCGCCCATAATAAATGCTACAGCGCCAATAAATGGTACAAACGAACCATTAACATTATGTGATATTAAACTTATTTGTATACAAAGAAAAAAGGTTTGTAAATTTTTGTTTAAAACTTTTTCTTTTTTTTGTTTTCTTAACTAAATTAATATTTGTTTTTGATGAAGATAAATTTGACTCAAGAGTCAGATGATAATGGTATTTCGTCTGTCGGATTATTCAGTAAATATATAAAGGGATGATTCACATTTGATAATTATTCCGACACAGGAAAAAAAAAAAAAGAAAAGAAAACAAACACTAATTCGATTATTTAAATCATTCACGGTTGAATTATTCAAGCAACGAGAAAATAAATAATACGTTATAATAAAAATGACAAAAATATCCCAATAAACATATTATCATTAAATTTTCACTTTTCTATATGACATTTTAAATATCTCTTTGACAGCTTTACTGTATCAACCATTATCGAATAAATTATAAAAATTAGTTATAATGATTGTATCAAATAAGATAATTTCTCATTTAATTTTCTTTTTTGTTGTAATTCTATTAACTCTTTATGCTTTGGTAGTCATCCAATAGAATTGATATTTATTCAACCACGAAAAATAGATTAAACAGATGCTAATTATGACATCGATATAGTTAAATTTAAACAACGTCATTTTCATTGTAAAGATGAAGAATGAGTTAAAAATAACGCAATTCTTTTGCGTAACATCGAAATTGTAGTTATGATTAATTTGATTGCTTTTTTTTACGACTTTTCATTATTATTTTATATGTATAAAGTTCGAAGTCTATTTATTTGAAAAAAAAAAACAATGGATCATTTCGAAGGATGATATATGTTTAATCTTTCATTTCCAGAATCGTTAGTTTTCGTGTTCTTTTTGTATAATATGAAATTATTGGTTTGAATTTCTATTCGAAATCAGTGATTTCTATTGTGAACGTTTCATCTAGAAGGATGGATAGAAGCTGCATGCTTCTATATCTTATCGATAGGAATAAAAAGCAACCACGGAATTTTTTTTTTATGACTGGCTGTGAGTTTTAACTACAAGAATTGACAGTTCTGAGATAGAAAACATTGAAAGTGGCACCAAAACTTATCCTTTCTTCAGTAACTTGTATATTAAAGTAGAAAACCCTATTACTATGAATAGGTTAGAAAAAAAAAAACGAAGTTATCAACAGTTTACGTATCTAGTGATATTATGTAATATACGATTGCTTGAAGATGACGGAAATAAGGTTTTCGAAGTTCATATAATTTACATAAACTCGAATTCCGATGCATGATTCTAATACAATCTGTATGACTAAATACAAAAAAAGTGACCAATTTTTTTTCAGTTTTTTGAAAAAATATTGTTTTGTAACTCATAAATCTTAACCAAGGAATGATGAAAAGAAGCTTTTTTTTTTTTCTTTTCGACTTTGTAGCTTAAAACAGACTGCACACAATATTTATAAATCATATTGATCCAATATTTTATTATGTTAAATAGATAGTTGTTATGAGTGGGTCAAAAATAGCCCAACAAGTAGGATTGTCAGCTCTGGCATACAATACGTTGAAAATAGTGCTACTTTGATCTAGTGAGTAGATTTTGGAATCCAGAAATTATTTTTAAATATTAAAAAGTCAAATTTACGCAATCGAAATAGCAAAGTGCGTTTTTTTTTTGGGGATTCCTCTTGATATTTTTCCTTATTTATTTGAAGAAGAAAAAAGATATTCAGTTCAAACAGTGTTTAATATCTGTAAAAAATATTCAGTTCGATCACGCATAGTATCTCTGAAAAATTAGAGCCATTGTGATCTCGAGTATCTCATAGAAGACAGAATCCGGGTAGACAATTTTACCACTACTCGTCATAGGTTTACCTATCAGAAAAATTTCAGATTTTTCTGATAAGCCGTTCTCTAGAAATCTCGCAAGCGAATATCCTTAATTATCATGATGTGTAGACAATTTTTCTTCAATTAGACTAATATATTATTTAATGTTGAGAATATCATAAATATTCTTCAATCTCATATTTATATTTTTAGAGAAATAAACGTCATATTTATTTAACATTTGTTGAAAGTTCTCTATTATCGTCCTCAAATGAACAACCATGTATAGAAATAATTGGTAAAACAAAATCTTCATCAATATTATTAAATGATTCTATATCATATGAAGATTTTGATACAATTAAAAATGATTTTCAATCATTTATTTATATTTATTTTGAAACATATACAATATCAATATATTTTTCTGATGAAAATTTTCATAAAAAATCTCTTATTATTAAATATCTCGAGTATATTTATAAGAAAAAAAATGAAAAATCAACTGAAATTAATAAACAACAAACATCTCAGGAATTCTCATCTTTATTAACAACTGAAAATATTTCGCATACATTTGATATTAAATTAATTCCATATGGTACAATTATATCTCCTAATCATATTTTAGTTGGTCATGCTCGTTTGTATTTTACTACAACAGATCTTTACATAGCTTCTATTGATTGTAATCAAGTCGAGTTAAAGACTACTATTACAAATCAATGTCCATCAAAGAATAAACCTATTTTATGTATACCGTATTTTACAATAAAACATTATGGAAATCGTTCAAATATATTTCTTATTGAGCTGGGTAAATCAAATTATGGTAATGGTGAAATACATATGAAATGTCAATCATCATCATTAGCAAGTACAATACATTTATTAGCTAGTCCAGTTATTGAAGAGCGACCATTAATACTTTCATCAGCATTTCAAAATCAATTATTAACTAATAAAAGAATTGAAAAATCAAAAAATATTCATCCACCTATACAACTTAATCATGATATAACAAATCAATCAATTGTTGATCGATCATTACCATTTTTAAAAAGACATTCAATAGAAGGTTTATCAGAAAATTCAAAGAAATTAAATCAAGTAAAATCACGTTCAGTATTTGGTTGGTTTCGTAAATTAGTTAAAAATACTACGCAATTACAACGATCATGTCCAGTTGATATTAATCAAAATGATTTAGATCAACAATCAAAACTTTTATCTTCATCAATGAATAAATTTTTTGAATTAAATATTGAAGAAAAAGAAAATTCTCATGATCAACAACAAAATATTTTACCAAAATCTCAAAGTGCAATTGATTCATCCGAATTAATAAATGATGAAAAAATAAAAATATCTTTAATATCATCTTTAAATCACCAAGAAACAACTAATGGAACATATATTGATATGGGTACAACTGTTCAAAAACTAGATCAAAATCAACCAGAAGAAATTCATGATGAAAGAATAATCAAAGAAACAACAACATCTAAAGATATTGGTGTTAATAGTAAGTTAGAAGTATATTTAAAATAAAGCAAAAAATATGAAAAATTTGTCATTACAACATAGACAATAAATAAAATATTAGAATTTCTATTATTGAATATTTTTTTTTTTTTTTATTTAGCTACTATCAGTCTACCACCACACGTTCGTTCAGCTATTATTGTTGGAAATTCAGTTCATTTAATTGCTGAAGGTAAAGTAAAAATACAAACGAATTTAATTAAATATTTATTTATATGAATTTTTCTAGAAAGATCTGTTTTTCCAATTGGCCAACGTTCCTTTACTTCTCCTGCTAGTGTTATGCAACCTTTCAAAGCACAATTACATGAACAAACAATCAGTAATAATTATGGTAAATATCATTTATTATCATCGGGTGTATCAATCAAAATAATATGTTAAAGAATAAATTGCCCTTTTATTATTTCTGGAATTTCTTTTCCATTAGACTTCGGATTGAAACACTTTTTAATAAAAAAAATACCGTTTGGAATTCTGTACAGTAAAAAAAGGTTGTTCGATTTTCTTGTATGAAAAACAAATAAGATTTTTCACGTAATATTCCTTGTGTGCTTCTTTTCTTAAAATATTCATTTCAGTAGCTAGTCTTCTTGTTGATGGCCATTGCTTCTGAGTTAGACAACATTTAATCTTCGACATATTGGCTTCTCGTCCTAACTGTGCATGGCCGACCGGAAGGCAATAACGTCTTTATTTTCCATCGTTTCTCAAATATATCTTAAATAAACTTTCGATTCAATCATACATATCTTTGTAGAGAATTTCAAGTGTCATCTTCTGATTAAAAAAAAGTGCTTCAATCAAAGGAATAATAGAGAAGAAATATCAAAAATACTAGAAAGACAATTTATTATGCGTCTCCCATTCATGAAGAGGAAATTATTGATGAGCATCAAGATTTGTTGACTATTTTCTTATTAATAATTATTGAATTATTACACTGAATAGAAGTTCTCTTTAACAACGTTCCAACAATAATCTCAAACTTTCATGTAAAAAACATCTAAATTAATGTACGCACTAGAGTTAAAGAGGGAATGAGTGTAAACTCAATAATTCCATAACAGCAATAGTTCGTGATTTGTGGTTTTTTTTAGCAATCGAAAGATGAGAATTTCGAACATCTTTTTCATCTGATACTATATATAAAGCAAAATTATTTTAAAGTTCATCATCCTATACAATTTAACTGAATAGATTTACTATTAAAACTACAATTACATCGAAACAAAATACTATTTTCGCAGATTTTTTAAAATACTTTGCGAAGATGATATTATATAATATTGTAGTCGCATAAAGTTTCGCTATTGGGTAAAAAATACACAAACTTCAATCCTCTTTTGCATGATAATATTTATTACGAATAGAACTCGATAAACATTGATCACAAGAAGTAATCCGAGGTCGACAGATCTTAAGGCAAAGAATTTAGGATTCTTCAAGCCTATGTAATCTTCAGATGCAGAGAATGAATATTTTCTTCATTTTAAATTTAGCCGAAGATATCGGTCACTTTTCGACGATTCTCACATGATGATTGCTTCATAAATCTCAAGCAAATTAAAACCGTTTGACATTGAGTTTTTATATGTAACACTAGCAGCCCTGAGCTTTCATCATGAGATTTGTTTTCTATGTTGACATTTTAGCTTTTTCGCATGAAGATCAATTATTTCTTATGATCAAAGTTCTACATACTCTATTTGTGATAAGTTTTTGAGACTAAAATTTATAGTTTCACTACTTTTTTGTAATTAATATCTCAGACAAAAATATGTTCGAAGTTCTTTTCTTTTGATTACTGAAAATTGCAAGTTACTTATTATCGTTATTGTCGAGATTATTACAACTATCAAAGAATTCTTCTTTCTATTATGTTTCAAAACATTTATATCTTCATCAAACTTCAATAAAATACAGAGTTCTTCGAAGACTATGATGTTCGTAGAAGATGCTTCAAATATTCGATATTTTAGTAGAATGTAAGAAAAGCTTCTGATGAAAGATTAAATTTTTTTAATTAGAAAAAAAATTCAATTGAATAATATTTAATTTATTATTTTTTTTTTTTAGTAACTGAAGGTAATATGCTACCATGTGTATCAAATAATTCAAGGTTAGTTAAATGATGTTAATTTTTATTTTCTTATTAATTAACCCATTATTTTATTATAGTTCTATTTATCAACCAATATCTAATTCCAATTCTCAACAATCATTATTTCTTTCATATGGTATAGTAACTTTAAATAAAATTCCATTAACAACTGATCAAACTGAACGTCCATCAAGTCCATTATCTGATGTTTCAAATATTGATCATCGTCTTAATTCTGATCTTAGTCTCATGTCTATATCTCATCAACAACAAGCATCAAATATATATTCATTTGATAATATATTATCATCATCATCAAGTTCACAAATATTTCGTACATTATCTCTTTCAACAAATAATATTGGTGATAATACATCAGGACGAATATGTACATCAAATGGTAGTATTATTTTTTTTGATGATAATTTAACTGATCAAGCAACAACTTATTTACTTGGATCACCACCATCAACATTAAATGATGATCAAATTCAAACAGATTTATCACGTGTTTCATCAATAAATTTAACAACATCTATATCACGTTCACATTTATCAAATATTAATGAAGAAAAATTTTCGTCAAATGATTCCTATGCATTTATTGAACCCTTACCTATAGATAATACACCATTATCCGATCTATTACCAGTTCTAACAAAACCTTTATTAACATCAGAAAAAACAATTAATTATACTGATTTACTTTTACCATCATCAAATATTGATGATGAACAACAAGATTTAAATTCAATCGATCAAACTATTGATCAATCTAATAATTTAAATGAAGAAAAAACTGAACGATCATCAACTATTATGTATACCGATATTGATTTTCATCAAACTGAACGTCGTGATCGTATTGCTCAATTAGCAGCCATATCAAACAGTGAAGATAAAACACCACCATTTGTTTTATAAAAGTATTTTTTATTATTTTGTTCTATGCAAGTTAATTTAATATATTTTTCTTTTTTTGTTTGTTCTTTTCTTTTTCTTTTTTATTCCTCTTTTAATGTGTTGAAGTCAAATTGTAAATAAAATTAAAGACATTTTTTTTATAATGTCAATGGTGACATTACAACTACACATATATATACATACATTTATAGACGTCTGTTGTTCTATACAAGAAATAAAATCATAGAATAATTTCATTTGTAAGAGTAAAACAAGAATAGCAGCAACACAAGCAAATAGACAAGGTAAGTAGAAACATAAGAATATATAGTAACTACAATAATGTGCGGTAGACATATTAAATGAAAAGTACAATATCAATACATCTTATGATATTTTATGTATTGAAATTTTCTCTAAATGAGATACACATTACGAAATTATAACTGTAGCATTAGCAATATTGTGTTTAATGAGAAGAAAAAAAAAAAAACAAATTACCGCTAAGCCTTATAAGATGCAGGAATTGAGTAGATTGAGTATTAACCGAAAAAAAAGCTAAATCCTTTCTCAATGAAACAAAACTGAATACTAAATTTTAATCACTTATACAATGTTTATTATGTAAATTTGAATAAAATCCAGCAGAATTTTTTTTAAACAGATATTGTATATATGGGAGTGACCAGTCAGTATGGTACCCCATTTTGATGCACTCCTATTGTAAGGATAAAACATACTATTGTTCGGGCCATATAAGAGAGGATCCTAGATAACCCTGAATTGG